GTCCATATCGATCTTGAAAATCAGCTAAACACATTGCATGGCAAGAGTGGTTGGAGAGTGAGGAAGGCAACAACTCCTTGGATCTCTTGGATGGAGTCCATTAAGAAGATGTCGATGGCTGTGAGTCTGATAAGTGTTATGCATGACAGAAGAGTTTCAAACTCCTCTTGATACTCTAGTAGAGTTGCTTCTTCCTTCATTTGGAGCAATGCAGTGATTGCCAGCAAGATCGATTTTCCGACAACCATCGACAGCAGTGGCAGCCAGAAGGCTGGGTCTAATGCCATTGATAACAGTAGAGAAAAGAAATGTACTAAACAGTAAAATATCAACTCAATCAACCCCCAATACATCATTTCATATCCTATTTATAGACTACCCCTCTCATTATTACCTAATTGCCCTCACTATTACTATTACCACATATCACATCTATATTAATATTTTAAAATTTTAAGGGGTGTTTGGATAGAAACCAAACCATAGTTTCAGAAGTGCTTTTATAGTTTACGAAATAAATATGTGGAGGAGTTTGCCTCGTTTTGTGAAAAAGTGCTTCTGAAACCATGGTTTGGAGGTTGTCAAACACCCCCTTAATGCAACTTCATTATACCTAATTCTAATGGTTTCTTATTATATCTAATTCTTTTGCTGAACAATCCAAGTAACAAATGAAATTTTCAGTAAAATAAGATATGCAAGGAAAAACCAACTCAAAAACTTAGCAAGAAAACTAAAATAAAAAAGCATATGCAGCGAGCAACAATGATAAATCTCCATTTCTAATCAAGAGATAAAGGAGAGAATGGCATCATTTCATGTCCTGTACCTTCAGCAGCCAGATTGGCTATCACCTTTAGAGCTTGGATTTGGGTATCCGAGTCCTCAGACTTCAATAACTCTAATATTCTTTGAAACCCCACTGAATATTTCTCACCAAAGAGCATGCAAATTAATAGACCAATAATATACACATAGGTTATTTTCCAAACATCAAATGAAATAACTCCAAAGATTTCTTGCCTTCTTTGCATATCTTTGCAATGGCAGCCTTCTGACTAGAGATTGTCTCCTTTGATGGTTTAATCTTGTTTGACATCACAGGGGATCCATGCTCCAAAGCTTCATTGAATGTATTTTGGCTACTTTCCTTCAAAACAGCTTTCTAATTCAAAGAAATAAGAAGGTATTAGAACCAGATTTTCAAGATCAACAATACAATAAAAACATAGATCAAAATAAATAACAGAAATTGCCTTGATATCATTCTCAGTTTCAGACACATTCTTCTTAAGTTTAAACAGCTCATTTTCAACATCTTTTCTCTGCTCCTCTTCTGTCAGGAGTCTTTGCCTCATGGCATGAAGTTCCTCATTCAGTGTAACCTTCAAGAATTAATTACTGATAGCTTTTAATTTTTCTTTAAAGAATAGATAGTCATAAAGCTCATAAAATGGATCGCACTAGTCACTGGTGTAGATCCAAAACATTTTAAGGAAAGCAGAGCTCGAGCAGACCAATCCATTTTCACTTACCTCCCTCTCTAATAGATTTTGATATTTTGATTTTAACAAATGGAGTTCATTTGTAGTAGCATCATGTAAATGGGACATTCCTTGTAATCTCGCCCGAAGTTCATCAATCTCTCCCTGCTTCTGGTTCTTGAAACAAATAAAAGTACCAACAAACCACATAAAAGTTATGAATTTAAGGTTATTCAAAACCTATAAAAGAAATGTAGCAACAGGGTTAACACCATTAGATAAGATTCACTGAAAAGCACAGGTAATGTCCTCAACAGTGCAATGACTATACTCTATGAAAACTCCTTAATCTGTATAGCTAATTAAAAAGTGGTAAATATGCATTGTGCTTCCGGAACTGGCAGACAGGTTGAGAGAAAATTAACATCATTCTTCGTCATAACAAAGGGCAAGGTACCAAAAGAAATACAGGTTGTTAAATAAATAAGTTGTAAAAATATTGACCAAGTTCACCTGTGCTAAGTCTTGCTGATCACTTAGGAGTCCCTTTGCCAAGTCTAATTGTTCCTGTGCACATTCAAATCGGCGGTGCTCATCTTCTATCTGTTTAACTAGCTCCATTACTTGTTTCTCATGCATTTTAGTGGTTTCAGCCAGAGCCCTTTGACATGCGGCGTTCTCTAGTTCTTTTTGCTTCTCACAAAGGAATAAAAAGAAATGTATGGAAATATAATGTATTAGAAATATGTTATCATTATGTTCTGAAATATGGGAGATTTGCAAACAAAATTTGTGCAAGAAATGACTTACAAGAAAACACAATGTTGAAACTAATTCCAAAAAGTCATATAAACCATGTACGAACGTATATAGTGTGTGTGTGTGTGTGTGTGTGTGTGTACCAACCATAATACATACTTTAACCCAAAAAATTTGCCAGCTACAAGGTACAGAATTTTTATATCATTTTTATAGAGACAATACATAGCAACATTATCAGCTATTTCTGAAACTAGTTTATTGATTACAAACCTGAATTGACTTTTGATGATCATCTAGAAGCTTATGTATCGTATCTAGTTCTTTTGCAGCGTGTTCATCACAAGAATGCCTGTCTTCAATCTGCTTAATCAACTCTGCAATTTTCCTCTCATACATCTGAGTGGTTTCTGCCAGTACTTCTTGAATTGCAGAATTTTCACGGAGTTGTTGCTACTTATGGTCAAATAAACATCATCAATACCCATTGACATGAAAGTAAGAATTCCACCCCAAAAAGACAGTTTGATGCAGACACCTCTTAACTAGCCATTTAATTTGCCCTGTCAATAAGGGTTTTCAATTTGCAAGTAGGGCTTAACAGGGATTTGAATAATGGTTCTCATGAGCCTACTAACAATGGGAAATTTTTTCCACCCATTTTCCATGTGAATTTAAGATGCCTGTAGCCCTAGATTATAAAGATTTCTTACTTATCCATAAATAGTCCTCTAGTAAATTATAATTGATACATGTCTCTTATGAACAAACAGAACATTACAGCAAGGATAAAGTTATTGCTTCGGTCGAGAAATGTTAAAGCATCCACATCAGGTAGCAAGGCCATGCTACCATTGAAGATTCAAAGTTTAGTCACGTGACTTGTTACTCTGCAGCGTGTGTTCTGTTTTATGTATTTTTCCTCTACCTTTCAATGAGTTTGCTGTTGTTTTATTTTGTACATACACTTGTATCTGAGGGGGTTACGTATAAGCTTTATACAATCCAGATTGTACTCAATGCATTCATGAATAGAATTTATCAATTAGCTCTGGACAGAACTTGGTCATTATTTATGTCTTAAGCAATGGTAACTCAGATAAATCCCTTAAAAATGATGCAAATATGCTAGTATCCTGATTTTGATGCTCTAAAGAAAGAATGATGTAAACAGAATTAGATTAGAGAAACCAGGAAGTGCGTTCTCCTCAAATATGGCAGGTTTAAGTACCAAAGCAAAGAACAGGAGTCTTCGAGTCAGGAAGCACAGTTTAAACATCATCTTGGCTGATGATCACAATACTGGTTCCAACGAATCCAATAAGGTTTTTACCATCCCCTGTCCTTTTCCTCATTATGTAGGCTATGCTATGAGTTGTGACGGAAATAGGGACAGCAATAAGTTAATTCTTGCACTTCTAGACCCTAGGAATGGCCAAATGGAAAAATCATTGACAAGGATCAATTTCCAGAAAACTACTACCCCACAATTTCCTTTTTTCCCAAGTTTTTTAATCCTTAGTTTTCTCTTATCAAACTGTATTAGCCACCTTCAATATATCGACTACAGAGGTCTGAAGAAAAGAGATGTCCAAAAGTCGCCACTTCTTTGGGTGCTTCAAAGGTATTAAAGTATCTCATAAGATTTAATTGATTTGGGGTTAAGACAAGAGTGGTAACAATCCAGTTAATGAACATATATGTAATGCTCTGAAATTGTAAAACGTTATTATCACTGAGAACTGAAATGGCACAGATCAAGAGTGAACTAGGAAAGGAACAAAAGCTTGACCTCACAGACGATATACCTCATATTTCTTTTCCAGATTTGCAGCCACTTCATGCAACGAACAATTTTGATCTTTCTGACATTTAAGTTCGCTTAAAATGTCCTTTAATTCCCCTTTCAAATCCATGTTTTCCTTTTGTAGAAACTGCCAGCATTTGAAGGTTACAAAAGGACAAAAATTAATATGAAAATTGGAAATTTGAAACACAGGAAACTTGGAAAAACCATGGCCTTGAAAGCCTGACGTGTTCTATGTGCAAAGGCCTTTTAAACTGCAAGAGGAAGAAACAACTACCTCAGACCTTGTAAGCAGACTTTTCTTTGTTTCAATTAAAGCACCTTGGCATTCTTTGAGCTGCTTGTCCAACATGTGTCTTTCATTTTCTCTCAACTTCTGTTGCCTTTCAACTTCTGCAGTAAGAAGGTCCACTTGATTTTCAAGTTTACGGCATAAAGCTTCATAATCAACTTCTTCTCTGAGCTTTACCTTGTTCACAATCTTCATTGCCTGCAATTATGCAAGAAAACTTGTGAGAGGAAATTTATCTACCTTGAGAACCATTAGCTCTTCATTGTAGCTGATATGATGCAGTATCAACATTTCCCATGTCCATATTGATCACGTATTAGATACACTCTAATTGAAAAGGGCTAACAAACGATGATAAGGCATGGTTAATGACGCCACCCTCATCGCATCTTTTACTGTATTGTCATGTCACACCAGCCACAGAATATTAACTGCGCTACTGATCCCCCCTTCCAAGTGTCACAAAATGATATTATATCTTTATTTAAAATCATATTCATGTAATCAAAACAGGACAAACATCAACCACTTAACTGAAAAGAGATCTCTAAATTAAATGATGTAATAACATGAAAAACGGGTAAAGTGAAAAAATTTAAAAAGAATTACAAAAAATTTAAAATCCAGCTTGCTATGAAAATTCTATACTTGGGTCTTTCGGAATCAGGATTCTTGCATCCTTAAAACTAAATTACATTCTGCTCATGGACTCCCAGAACATTCTAGAAACAATTGCAAAATGAGACAAGAAAGTCCATGAATGAAGCTCTAGGTTATTGTGCATACTTAAGAATAATCTATTGCAACATCTACTTGAAAGCATATTTTTAAGGGAAAATGACAAAAAGATGCCCATTGAATTTCAAAATGACAAAAAGGTGATTTTGATATACTTTGAGTGATAAAGACCATTGCAAGTATAGTCAAAACCATTACAAGAGTAGTTAGCATAGCCTATTTGTCTTTTCAAAATTCAGCAGGGATTTTTCTGTCATTTTTCCTATTTTTAAGGTATAAACTGTTCCCAAGATTCCCTAACCAGGTAGCAGTCCATTTATAATAAAACCTACGGGTAGTCATACCAAAATCATTCTCAGAAATTATGAATTTATTGCCACCTTGCTTAACCTTTTTTTTTTTTTTATTGGACGAAAATCTTGAAGTAAAATTTATTATAACTTATCCATACAAATTTAATAACAAGAAACTGCCATTAAATGAGAATATAATGATCAGCCACTATTAAATTTCTTAAATTGTTTGGATTAGAATAAATTCCCTCAGTACATTCTGATTTGAATCAATCCTAAACAAATTTGAATCATCTGGGAAACAGTTTGAAGGCCTCGCTCTAGGGCAAAAAAGATTGCAGAAAGCATAAATATGCATTCAATGCTAAAATCAAATGAAAACAATAAAATCCATAGCATGAAATAGTAATAACGATATGCAAGAGAAAGAGATGAGTCTCCTCAATTGTGAGGATGGGGGAAGTGCAGTAGCAGCAAGGTTAAAATGCAAAATATATAATGTCTAGAAACCATAAATAGATTATCACTAACTCACTCGCTGTCCGAACATTACTGTGCCAGAAGTCTCTGCATGGCACTTCACAGAAGGCCCAATTGTTATAATAAGAGAAGTCCTTGAAGACCCTATTTCCAAGAGTAAAAATTGTTAAAAGAAAAACTTTATGAACAATAAACTGATGGGTGGAACCACAATTACTTTAAGAACAATAGACGTTATGCAGATGACCTTGAAATGAACCATGAATTAAAGTTGGAAGATAGGACTCCCGTGTGACACCTGTGGGCTTCTATACGGCTAATACATTTATACATTTTTCAAGCAAAGGGAGCCAAAGAACATTGCAAGCAAAAAAGTTTTAAGATAAATATGCCATCTCTGCCTTTGAATCGCACAATAAACTATATGCACTATGTAATTATGTCATACAAAAGTCATGAGATAATGAATGCCATGTTGTCATTATAAAAAAGTTACATATTCATGTCTTGAGGTATGGAAGTTAGCATTCATCTTTTATAAACTTGTTTTTGCTAGCACAAACCATAAGCATTATCAGCACGGATGCTACAAACTGTTACAGTTAGCAGCTTTGGAGATATGGGCCAAAAAAGGAAATCAAAAAATTATGAATATGACCTCCAAATGAATCGCGAAGTAGCCTTGTAAGCTTGGACTCTCTTGTTGGTATGTGCGGGCTTTTTTCGGCCAATGCATTTATGCATTTTCCAAGTGAAGTGAGAGAAAGATTAATGAATTTAGCCTCTTCAAGCAAGTGCCCTTCACTTCCTACAACAAGAGGAAATGCATCTAAGTGGATATTTCATACAAACCATTATGATTAGGAACTGCACATGATAATGAATTTATAATCTTATCTAGAAGTAAAATCTGGTCAAATATATTAAAATTAAAAAATAAAGATAGCATCTTGTCCAAAAATGACAAGCAAAAACATATTGCACGGCCCTTAAAAGGATCAGAGAAAAACAAAATTATAATACAAGCACATCCTGGCAATAGATCTTGAACAGCAGTCATGAGTAATATATAATAATAATAATAATAATAATAATAATAATAATAATAATAATTAGACGAACCAGATTTGTCTATCCTTTCAGATCCTGCAAGATCCACAATTAGCAACTTGCTCTTCTGAATCATAGGTTTCTTGTTGTCAACATAAAGATCATTGCTGATGCTTTTATCTTGACAAGTAGTGTCCTCTACCTTTTTCCCAAGAATAGATCTGCGAATTTGAACCTTGAAATACAAAGGGACATTAAGCATTCAGTGTTTTACATTCCCTATAGAAGAAACAGAATCAAAATTTGTTGTACTATCGAACAAATATCCTGAATTATACAAGCGAAGGAAAAAGATAGATAGTTGTATACACACCATAAGAATCACATGACTCCGAGAGGATTCTGTGTTCAGCTTTGTGTTAGCTACATGGCGATTTACCTCACCTAGTTCAAGTAACTGCATGAAACTATCAAGATCTTGAACTTTAACCACTTCAACACCAGGTAATGACACTTCACCGCTCTTTGGGTCTTCATGTATAGAAATGTCACTTTTCTCTGGAGCAAGTAAATCATGTATGGACTCCATATACAACTGGAGGAAGAATACCATAAAATAAACATAACTATCTAATTTGTCGAAATAGCAAATTGATAATACTAAAGAGTGGTCAAAAACTGATATATATTAGCAACTTCAACAACGGTAGAGCTGCAGGTTGAGTTAAAACAAAATGCCTCACCCTTAGGATCTTATTAGCAGAGGTGGTAAAAGTGACCAGGAATTAGGGCAGCAGACCCGATGTTGAAAACCTCAGTGGAAAACCAATTAAAAAAGAAAACGGATGGCAACATCTCAGATTGAGACACCAAATTTGCGGAAGATCAACCTAAGTGTTTAGACCATTAAGCAAGAGCCAAAAATTGGCTGTCTCATCATGAATCAACACACTGAATGTAAAATGCAGTAAAGAGCTACCCAAGTACTTGATACTGATATAGATAAAACTAGAAAAGGAAATTTAATAGCCAAATTATGGGCAACAAGGATCAAAGTGGAGACCACTGGGTCTAATAAGATTTAATACACTGTCAAAGAATCACCAAAACAAAGAGTTGATGCAATTAAGTCCAAGAATATTTTTTACGACTCTAACAATCTCACTTGTAAGCTATGACACGCTCAAGAGCCACCTCACTCTCAACAATGGCTACATCTTTTTTCCCCATTCGATAGTGTTAAATCTACTACTAATTTTCGCAACCATAGATTGACTCAACCCATCTATCCATGACATTTTTTGTTAAGAGATCAATTCAGGTGCCTTTAGACCTATTGATGGTGAATTGAAGACTTCAGCTGCACATAGAAAAGTTTAAAACTTAATTAAATTTATTGTGTTTAGTAATTATTTTTATTTAAAAGTTAGGGATTTTTCATTTATTTTCAATTAGGCTTTTATCTGATCCTATCTTGTTTGGGTTTAAATTAGTCCAAATCATAATTAGTTTAAATCAATATAACTATTTATTACTTGCTTTAAAATTGCATGAAACTTTTAAATCCCAAATTTTAGCACATTCTTTCAGTTGATCATAATGTATCTTGAACCTAAAGTATGACTTAGTTATGAAAAAACTGCAAAATACCATAGCACTTTCATAACTCAAAGATTGTGTGGCCATGCTTCTGCAGAAACTAAAGAACTAGCTGCTACTCACAATTACTCAACAGAAGCCACCACACAGCTCCACAACTACCTAAAAGGCCAAACGTTCTGGTCAGGTTTGAATACCTGTAAATAGGAAACTTCAACACTATCAGATGCGGATGTGTTGGCAATTATGTCTTCCAAAGCTCTAACCATAATGCCACGCTCTGAGGCATCGTCTTTACCCAATGTTCCAACCGTGTAAGTTTTACCAGTACCTGTTTGACCATAAGCCATAATTGTCCCATTATATCCACTCAATACACTCTGCAAAAACACATCAACATTTCTACCGTAGTTAAGAATGAAGAATGACGTTTGGCCCCAAAAAGCAAATGAAGAATGATGTTTGGCCCCAAAAAGCAAATGAAGAGTCAAACTTGTGGCATAATCTTCAGTGAAATCAAAACATTGATTATAATTCAAACAGATATAGTGATGGTCACTTACCTCAACTACAGGTTTGGCAACAACCTCATAAACTCGCTTCTGAGAGGCAGTTTCTGTGAAAACTTCATCAAATCTATAAGACTCAAAACTCCAGTTGTTTTTTCTCAACTTTAACCGCTTCAGCTACACGGACCCAAACCAAAATATTAAGAAATAATAAAGAATCAAACTTTTTTCTGAAAAGAAAGTCCTTGAACTACACAATAATTTTTGGTGAATGCCATTCATATGTAAACCACATGCATGACAATCATAGAAGGAGATGCAAGAATTTCTGTTTGAAAAAGGTTGAGGGCTGGCCTGATTTTCATATTAGTGGTAATTATTATTACCTCCGGGTGCAATTCAACATGGTCAGCAAAGTCAGCATCTGAAAGAATTTCATCAGTATTTTTTGGCCGAAGTCGCACAGCAACTCTAACCCTTTGAGAATCTAAGGAGGGAAAAAATAAAGGATCAAACTCAGTATGCATTTACCCCGCTAACGAACAATGTTTGTTAACGATAGCACCAGTTGCCTAAGCTTGAAGGATCTCCTTTCGACTAACTACTAAAAAGATGATAATATATAGCTGAAACATCCACCACCCAGAAGATTCTGCAAACATGTGAATAATATAAAAAGCAACAATCGAATATCATAAGAAAATCTCAAAACAGTAGGTATGCAGAAAATCATTAAAAGCATTAGCTAGCTGATAGGTTAGTCCTTTACCCAGATAATTAATGATTACATTGATTTCTAAAATTGAATACAATGACTCGTTAGCATATTAAAACCAAAAGGAAGAATCCATAAGGAGGAAATTATAATAAGACAATATTCATGGACTTCACTTGGCAACTTCAACTTTTGAGTTAAAAGACTATAGTGATCAGTAACATGGTTGCAAAGCCTCCATGACCAAGACACATATGGAACTTTCTTCTGCTTACACTCTTCATATTTTAATGTGGTTTCACCATAAGGTGGCCCATGTTTTATGAACTCCTTGATACTAGAGGGCTTTTGAGTGAAGAGGTCAGTTAGTGATAGTAATAAAACTACCAATGGCCATTCACTTTAGCTTAACCTTTTGATTGAAGTGGTCAACTGGTCAATGACCTTAACACTCTAAAACACTTGGGTCCACAAGGCGCCTAAATCTTTCTAAATATAACAATACAGAAATAATAAAGGCACTTAAATCTTTCATTTTTGATAGAGGAAAGCAAATAGGACTTCTGATTAATATAGTAAGGCCCATAAAGATAACACCCAAAAAAACAAAGAAAGAAAATACTTATTGCCATTATAACCTAATAATGGCAATTAGGTTCGAAGTGTAACCGTACCATACAAGAAAGAACACATTACAATAAAAATCTGCGCCAAAACAGAATTCCATTGTCTCTGTCCAACCCAGCATGGCATTGGAGCTACTTACCCTTATCGAACACCCCCCATAGAACAAAAAGAAGATGGCAGGAAATAAAAACAGAAACTTTAAACGAAGTAGGCTTTCAAACAATATCGTTCAAATGAACTCGGGATCACCTTGTTCATCATCATCCAAACGAGCAGTATGATTACTCGGAGCGAGAATCCGCCTGGGAGAAGCAGAAGGAGTTCTAGATCGAGCAGGCTGCGGCGGGATTTGCCCATGAGCAGTAGTTGAATTCAAATTTGAAGTGGCATGCGAAGAAGAAGAAGAATATCCATGAGAGTGAGTAGCGGGGACTTGTCTCTGGTGCGTTCTCGACGATCTGAAAGCAGAGCTGGAAGCCATACTCTTAGAGCTATGGTTGAAGAAGGAACATAGAGTGATTGGGATTTGGTTAGAACAGAAATAGAATGAAAATGGGTAGAAGAAAAGGTGAGGAAGACAGAGAAGAGAGGCCGGCACGTTGGGGAGAGGAAGAGGAGTGGAAGTGGGAGAAATGTGCTTCCCGCGTCATTTCATTCATTCGCTGTCGTGTCGACACCAAAATTTTGACAAGTGAGATAGCACAGTAAACGTAGTTTGTCGCTGTCCAGGACTAGCTTCACCAGCCTAGTAGGCCATGTGTTGCTATTTGCTAAGTGACGAAGCAGAACCGTCCTCTGTTTCTCTGTTCGGGAATAATAATAATAATGGAGGGGTAAATGATGAAAAGAGGATTAGAGGACCATGACTCGTGAAAATCAACACAGAAAGATGAAAGTAAATTGTCTCCTGCATTTTTACCAAACGCATACGCAAGAGTCCAATTTTTTCCAACTTTATGTTTTTATTCATTATTTATTTTATTCATTATTTTTTAAGTAAGTATTTTAACACACTCTTAGAGTTATTTTAAATAAAAAAATATTGGTTGTCTTTAAAATTATGAGATATATCTTATCATTTAAGTCATTATTATAAGTCAGTTATAGGACATTCTTACCTAGTGAAAAAAAAGCACTAATTTGATATAATTTTATAAATTTTTCCTAATTAATTTTTTTTTTGTTTACAAATCACTCTTTCATTTTTCTCCTCTTTCTCTCTTTTCAATGAAATTAAATGGAATTAAAATTTAGAAAACAGTTATTAATAATAACCCTACAAATGACTTATATTTAAAATTAAATTTTTTTATAACTGACTTATAATAGGGCATCAATGGTATATATATTGACACCCAAGACTTCAAAAAAAAAAAGTCCTATAATACAAAAAGATGTTCATAGAAATGAAAATGCTTTTACTCAATCTAGAACATAATTTGTTGGCCAAAAAGAAATAGAAACATAATTAATTTATTTAAAAAAAAAAAAAAAGGGATCACCAACAAGCATAGTTCTAGTGGAAGGATCACAAGATCACGAACTTGCAGGCGGTGTTTCTTAAAACACCAGCATACACCACCGAGGGCATACAAATTTCCCGACTTTTTGAGTATTTTTTGACCAAGTAAAAGGAAGATTTTCGAAAGTGTTACACTTGTACTTCCCTTACCTTTCTCCAAACTATGATTATTTTTCATATAATTTAGGATAAAAATGCATGCAGTATTTTCAGATCTTATTTCTCAAGTGCTTGGGAAATAAAATCAAAGTATCGGACGCATTATTAGAAAGATTAGAGTGCTAAATATACTTAGAAAATAAAATTAGAATACTAAATATACTTGTACTCTGTAATTTATTTACATTATAGTAGAGTAATATTTTTATTTTACTTTTGCCCATTCGATTCCTTAATTATTAATACAATGAAAATGGGGAGATGTTGTGAATGACGTATCAAGTTAAGAAATTGGGATAAAATCTCATAAAAAGGTCAGTTTCAAATCATAACATCATCACAACTTACCCTCCTAAGTTTAGTACTTTTTTATATTTTGACATTAAAAAGCTTCTAAAAATGCTTTTTATGATGTTGATGTTTTTATGAGGTTTTTAGTTACTCTTCTAATTCTTAATATAAAAACTAATTAGAAAATTCATGTTACTCCTATATATAAGATATATTTCACATGTTTATCAATTTTTTACTCAATTAACTCTACTGATATTTTTCAAACAATAATCAAACAGGAAAAGAAGAGAGGAAGGAATTAAAGAAAGATGCTTAAAGTGTTTAGAAAAAAAAAACATATCATGTTAACTAATTTAACTAATATACTAATCTAATTCAAATTAATTAATTAGGTTTTATATTAAAGATAGGAGAATTATTATTTTTCTTAATCCTTATTCTCCTATCTTGATTCAGCCTGTTTGGCATAGCGTTTTGGTAAGAAAAAAATAACTTATAAGTGTAATAAGTCAGTTTGTAAATTCGAGAGCTATTTGTTCGACTTTTGGCCAATTTGACTTATAGGTCAAAAGCTGTTTTTTTAAGCATAATTATAAAATCACCTAAAACTTACTTATGACTTATGTAAACGTAGCTTTTTAAAATTAAAAGACATTTTTGCCTTTATATTTATGTTGTTCTTTTGCTTCTCTCTCTCTATATATATTTTGTGCTTCTTAATCAATTTTTAGTTATTGATTTTAATATTCTCTTAAGTGAAAAATTTTTTAACAATTTTTATAATATTTTAATTTTTAATATTATTTTTTATTTATATTTACATAAATTATACAGAATATAACATCAATTAATCATGTATTATATTTGGTTTAAAAATTTTCACATTATTATGATTTCTAATTTAAATTTAAATATAATTATTATTAAATATAAATTTGTCCTATTATAATAATTTAAGATTATTATATTTGTAAATTCATATTTTTAATCATTTTTTATTATTTAATAAAGCTATACCTATTTTGGTCATTTTACAAACGAAACTTACTTATTCAATTATAATCCAACAAACTTTTTTACTTTACAAACTAATTTTTACAAAAATCAATCAAATATAAATCACATTATTCAATCTAACTTTTATTAGATTAAAAATAAGTTACTTTTCTATAACTATATTGACCAGTGTCCACAAAATAAGGAATTTGTCGTTGTTGACTTTGTTTCAACCTATAAAAATGGAAGCAACTCGATGAAACATTGTGTACAATGTAAATTTCACATCATATGCTCATATCATAACTTGATGTGAGTTATCAAAAATATCTAAAATTCTTAATAAGGGCTGATCAAAGCTTTGCTAAATGGGACCAAGTTTATGGGATTTATCAAATAGCATCTCTTGCTGACTTGCCTTGCTTATATACTAATTCTAGTTTTAAATATAAAATCTAATTTATAATATAATTGAATTATAGATTAAATCTTATATTTAAAACCAGAAATAGTATTATTCATTTGTTTTTTACTTCTCTAGTTGTTACTGTAAGAGTTATTATACTATTTTGGAAAAATTAAAAAAAACTAAATAAATTACTTAATTCTATCAAATATAATATGATCTTCGTACAATATCTTTATATAATATTAGATTATATCCATTTATAAGTTAAATAATTAGATAAATTAATTAAAATAAATAAAATAGATTAACGTTTGACATTTATGATTAAAACCAACTCTAACTATTTTTTATTTTAGGAGCGAAGGAGGAATTTTTTTCCTTTGTATTTGTTTTCTTTTTCTTTGGGCTAAAGCAGCAAACTTTCCATTGAGTTCTCTTAACAATTGCATTAGCAATTTTTTTTTTCTATTTGATACAATTTAAACTCACGTGTACACATAAATATATCAATGTTAAGCTTGAATTTGGAATCTCATCTAAGTATGTGCGGGTGGCACTACCACTAAAAGAACTTGTAGTTGACTAGCATTGGTATTCTTTAATCTAACATCGTACGAATCTTTACCAACAATGCTTACTAAAGATGCTAAGAGACACTTTTGAAAACATTAATTTTAGTGTCTTCAATCTCTTGCAAAGGCTAAAAGCCAAGGGAGGTGTTTGGAAGCATCAGAAGTGTTTTTGAAAAGCATTTTCCATAAATCGAGATAAACTCCTTCACATATTTATTTGTATGTCGCAAAAGTACTTTTAAAATCATAATTTGATCCCATCCAAATATCCCTGTTACCTGATTGTGCAACCAAAATAAAGATGAATCAAGTCAAAATTCAAGGTATTACAAAGATGGCAAAATCATTACCTAAAAGGGGGTAGGTGGGTAGGTGGCTATCAATGTTGATGAAGCTTATTCTCATAACTATGGGACCACAAGATGTGGTGGTATAATCAAATACCATAAAGAAAATTTGTGGTATAATCAAATACCATAAAGAAAATTTGATTGAAGTTTTATGCTTAATATTCAGAAGGGAGATCCTTTAATAGCTAAACTTTGGGCATGACTTGTTAGTCTTTAAAAGGACGTGGAATGAAAACCATAGACGATTGTTTATTTGAAAAATGACTCAAATAACAATCTTCATGATAATTGGCAATTAATTAGGGGAAGCCACAACATGCTGCTTAAATGTGATTGGTTGATTGATATTAAACATGTAAGAAGGGAGAGAAACTCTGAATTTTCGATTGGTTGATTGATATTGAACATGTAAGCAGGAAGAGAAACTCTGAATTTTCAAAAAAAGTTAAGATTAATTACTTATAGGGCAGTTATTTTTAATAACTAGTGCAAAAAGTCAATATGATGACAATTTATTTACAAAATTGTCAACTTGCACAATTTCTGTATCAATTTCCTTCTAACCGCTGCAGAAAGTAAATGCTAAAAACAATGTCTGTAGTCTACCGTGGATAGCAAGCCAGATACTGTTATCTTTTTCATACACTAAAAAACATTAATACTACTTCTAGTCCTTAATATATAAAATCTTATTTAATTTTTATTTTGATTATAAATATAAAAACCCCAATCCACTTTGTCTCTCATATTTATGTATTTTTTTTCCAAGAAAGTCCTTTTAATAATGGTAGTTCTAGCCAATACACTTGATTAGCAAGGATATTTTAAGAATGACAACATCTATTATTGTAAAAACTAACTAACTTCTTTCCTTAATCTCTTCAAATTAGTTTTAACTAGCTCTTGTAATTAAAATAGGAGGTAGTATTAAATATTAAATAGCAAGAGTGTAAATTGCAAGCTACATTTTTTTTACCTGAAAATTACAAGCTACATAGAGGAAACAAACTTACGACAACTATTTAAGGATTTAAAAAAAAAAAAATCCTAGATTCTACTTTTGGTACCACCTCAACATTTGGAAAAAAGAAAGAAGAGAGGATAAGAGAAATATCCTGATCGTGAACTGGCTCCTTTAGATGGAAGGAACTGCTTCTTAATACAACAGACTTGTAGCTTATCTTTCCTAGCACTTGAGAAGAAAAAATTGAGTTCATGATCCAAATTAAGCTAGGAATCAAGATAATCCAAAATTAAGATTATTTCTTGAAGCTTTCTTCCACAGGATCTATTGAATGGACTTGGCATGAAAACAAATCTAAGTTTGGCGTACTAGTTTCTTTTGCATTTTGCCCTTAAAACATAATAACGATCCAACCTTCCTGATCTAAGAAAAAGGGGTAATGACTTGCTCCACCAAAGTGGATACAATAAAAAATTTCTTGGGATGAAATGTTTGCTCAGCAAAGAGAGAAGAAAGCAATTGCATCTTGCCATATCATATTATGTTTATGAAATGGAAGAATAAGATTATGAAAGTAGGCGTATTTGGCTATTCTAATGTTATTTGTCTGAAAATTCAGCAATGAGAGAAAGCCTAGTGGATGGTATGGTATGAGTTGGATAAACATTGCAATCAAAGATAGGAAACGGATAATTTTAAGAAATAAAAAAAGGAATGGATATATGAATGATAAGATATGAGAATGGGAATGAATAGAAAATTTTTTAAAAAAATATGGTTGAAATTTATAGTTTATCTTCATGATAAAACCAACGGTATTATGGTGATATAAACATGATAAGAGTACAAGAAAAATTTAGCATGCATTAATGGGAGGAGAGATTTTTTTCATTTCACTTTGATTTATATATGTGCATAGGATTTTGAGATGATCAAATATGTATAATTAAATACTAATGCATGTATTACACTTTACTAACATAATCATATATATTTCTCAAAATTAAAGATTCATCTATGTATTTAGTAGGCATGAATTCAAGACTTAATAACTTGTATTTACAAATGATAAAAAAATAGTAAAATGATTCATTAAAGTCATAATTAGATTCTGAGATCGAGATCATGAACATTCGAACATGACATTCAATATCAAAATTTATTATGATTTTGTTCAAGCAAAGGGAAAATCACATAAGAAAAAAAAGAAGAAGAAGAAGAAAATGTTTTCTCTCATTATATTAAATAAATAAGAAAAACTCATAGAAAAGTAAAGTAACTAATTTTGCAACGACAATAACACTTAGAGAGTGTTTAGATGGAAACAAAACCATAGGTTTAAAAGTAATTTTACAGTATACGAAGTAAATATATGAAAAAAGTTATTTTGATTTGTAAAAAAATACTTTTTAAAAGTATTTGTGCCTGATACCAAACACTCCCTTAATTTTATATATATATTATATATATATATATATAAACCTTTTCCTTTTCCCTTTTTAAAGCAATTCTAGAATGTTTTTCTTGGAAATCTCTCCACTTTTGAAATGAAAACTTTTTATATAATATATAAAACAATATATGCTTTGTACGTTACATGAAATTCAAAATAAGTCACATAATATATTTACTATTACTACCATTATCATTATTATATATACTCATAGAAGGGTAAAAAAGGTAATTTCACCCTGGAACTTTCATATTGGGAAGTGTGAAACGGATTAACACGTCATCCATTAGTTTATCACAACGATCCTATGCCTTATCCACACAAACACTATAAATAGTTTGGTCTGTGTGGGTATCACATCTTCCATGGCTTAGAGATTATTGGGAATATGGCTTCCACGTTCACTAGAGTTTCTCAAACAATGAACACTATGATGTCCAAGTAAGTATCTTTTTTTCCCCCTTTTTACCAATGTCTATATTCATGTATTAATGAAAAGATTTAAGTTTAATTATCATGATATTAAAACTCAATCCGATTTGACCATTCTGTCGAATAAATCAATTAATCAATTTATTGACCAATAACAGTTTTGGACAGGTTGATTATTTTATATATGAATATTCTATTTATTTATAGAGTAATGATTAAGTTGACTCTAGATGATTGATTCTTGAATTATTATCTCAACTAGTTTAATGATGAATTCATTTTTTTAATACTTGATATTCGTTTATAAAAAGACAATTCTATCCAACACATGTAACAAGATACATAAAAAAAATCGGCTAGTCACATTCGGGTAATTTGAGCTAAATCCAATAAACCAAATGAGTCCGCCAGCCTAAAAATATCTAAAACATGAAGAGAACAGAAAAGCAATGATCAACAAATCAAAAATCTAACACCCAAAAAAACTATAGAAATCAAGTGCAGCAAGATATCCTGAGTACTTGATAGTTTAGTGAGAGATCATGTCGTTTTTCTTACTATCTCTTTCTTATTTATCTACACTATAATGCACCTTGTACTTTTAATGAAGGTAAGAGATTTAGATTTGTATTACTTTTTTTAATAATAATTAATTTTTTATCCCAAAGGATTATTTTGATCGGGGAGGCAATGGATTTTTAGAATTGTTTTTTTACACGCCATTATTTAATATGTAATTTAATCAATCAATCATCAAAATATCTGAAATGCTGGTCTTTCTCCTCATCATCATCATCTCCTTAATTTAACATAATTTTTTGTAATTAGGTTTATCTTAATTAGGTTTAAAATACATGTAATTATGTATAGGTTTATTATATAACGTTTTTTGTTCCGAATTTCAAGCAGACCATTGGCACGAAAAAGCTTTCACACAAAAAACTCTCCAAGCGGGACAGTCTTCGAGACGAAGAAGATGGAGATGGAAGAGCCAATAATGAAGAACAAGAACAATATGAAACGAAATGACGATAATGCCCTTACTTGGGTCCCACATAAGAAGACAGGGATTTACTATCCTAAAGGACAAGAAAAAATTATGGAAAATGTTCCCCATCATGCTGGTAGAGATGAGGGAGTGAATTGGTTCTCTATCAAACATTAAAAATGAAAATGAAAAATCAAGATCTGAAAATTAATTCTTGGGTTATAATAATCCAAATATGAAAGTTGTAACTACATCTGCTTCTTTCATTCTACTTGAAAATAAATATAATTTGGCGCCTCATAGTTATTATGCCAACAATTGGCTGCTTTAGAACATATTATGTCATTTTATTTGTCAAATTTTATGTTATATCAATTGATTTTACAATATGCTTATTTATTTGAAAATTTTATAATATCATTTTTGATATAATTGTATAGCTAAATTTGAAATGAAAGAACACGAATAAATCCAATTCTGGCCACATAAAACTTGTTAAGCTATATATTTAGTGGGGCAAATGATGAAATTTGAGCACTCAAGACTTAAATTAATGCAAATTGAATATTTGAACATTTCTTTTAAAAATTATACGATTAAGATACAAAAATACCCATAAAGAATAATTCAAATGAATGCATATTTGATATTATTAAGTTTACCTAAATACAAAAGTACACATAAACCTTTTAAAATAGAGTAATACTCCCATCTCAGGTGATGATGAACGAGCCTCCCTTTGCAATCAATCTCTCTTTTTGCAATCGATCAACAGAGCATTTAATGATGATGATATTTTTCCTACATATTTTAAAAGGTTTATATGTATTTTTACACTTTAATAAGCTTTAGGATGTCAAATATGCCTGAGGGAATACTTCGTGAATATTTTGGCATCTTAACCCAAAATTGTACAAATAAGTTGCCATTATTTCTTTTTATACCGTCAATTATATTTAAAATTTTACAAAAATGTTTATCATTATATTTTGACGAAAAACACCCTCAAAACATTTATATGATGAAGCCATTACTCCAAAAAAGTCCACATGATAATTTTGACAAGACACGCTTTGAGCTAAAAGGACGAAGGAATTGTTGATGGTTAAAAAGAAATAAGTGTGCCCTAAATCAAGTGGCATGAGATAAATAACCTACTACGGATTGTACATCCAATACAAGAGAGAACAACACATTACCTTGTACAAAACAGTTTTGTTTATGGACAATGTTAGGAGTAAATAAAGACAATGGTATCTAGAGAGAGAGAAAAAATTAACTACAACAATAAGCTAAATTCCATTAGGAGGATTCAGGCTTAGTGGAGTGCTAAGGGCAGAGGAGCAGAATCCACTAATCAAGAATCCAACCGGAACTGCCTGAATCCATTGTTGTCCACCGTGTGTTACACAAAGTCAGGAAGCTTGAGATGCCCCAAATAGAACCTTCTGATGCCAAAACCTTTCACTTCACAACACTGAGATTGAAGATCTGTCCAATTCAGTGGAATCTCAAACGTTTGAAGCTATTTTAAGCCAGAACCAGACGGAAAATTGTGATCAAAACCTCCGGGGATGAACACAGGAAGCTGATTTGAGAGTGAATCCCTTTTGTATCTAGGATCCCGGGGTAGGTTACCTGCTGAGCTCTCTTGGGCCTCTGTTGAGTCAGTTGATCTTTCATTTTTTGACCTGTCCCTAACAGGGACACTCAAGCGAGGGCCACCGAAAAAGATAGAGTCTCCTGTGTACATCAGATTTTGTGATTGCTGCACTGAAGACCTGAGAATAGATGATGATGATGAGTCTTGTGGAGGATTCGCTGGTCTTCTCCCATAAGTGTTTGTTTCAGCATTTGAATGTGGCAATTCTGTTCGTAGCGAAGACCTATTATTTCGAGCCTCAGAGGCCAATAAAGGAACTGATACATATCGGCCAGCTTCTTGGTCCCAGACAACAGAAGTTCGTTTTACATCTCTCAAAAGAGACGTGCCAGAAGCTGAAAGCAATAATGGATCATTACTGACTCCCCTCTGCGTCAATCTTCCATCAAATCCCAGAGATGGATTAGATGCTACTGGGTTGTTAAAATTTGAGAAAGTGGCTTTAGAAGTAGGATAAACTGTCAAGCCAGGAACTGAGGCACCTGCACTAAAACCACCCACAGCACGACTGTGGGGAAGAGGGCTCAGCGTAACTGCTTCATGAGCATGGCTTGGACTGCTAAAGCTACTCATACTTTGAGTTCCAGTCTCATACTCATCCCGACTACCCTGACTAGGAGCAATAGAATTTCTTACTGGAGATGATCGCAGCTCATTCTTGATTTCTTTGTTAGCACCATTCTCTGTGCTCAAACTACTCCTGATGCTCATGTTGCCACTAGAGCTGAATTCTGAATCTGGCAAGCGGCGATTATCAACTGGCCGCAAAACTGAAGAAGATGCCCTGGCTTTGGCAGCTGCTTTCATGGCTTCTTGAGAATCCAACTTTGCAAGCCTCCAGGCACTGAGACGAACAGCCCTCTTTGGCATTTTTTGCCCTCTTTCCGCCATCCCGGCTGCATCTGGATCAACAGTTGATGGCAACATTCCAGGCTCCAAGTGAGGCACAACCTCATCCTAAAATCAATGTCAAGGAAGCCCCACAAATCGAGTTAGAAAAGAAAAACGACATTTTCTGGCATGTCATGAACTGTCAAAAAGAAGTAAACATATAACTTACATTCAGAAAACAAGAAAGATTCATCAAGTCATAAAATAAAATGATATAACAAATAAATAAAAATATGAAAAATTGAAAATGCTATTCCGTTCATTAAATTCATGTTCCCAAAAATTCTAAACACCAGTATTATTTAGATACTAGGAAAAGTTATCTGGATAAATTGTATTTTGACACATGGATCACATACAATTAAGTTTATCAGTTTACAAGCTCTCACATGTAGCCTGAAAGTCAGTATATCTGGTCAGAGTTTCTTGAGACATTCAATACTTCTAGTCTTAGCAGGACCACTGGGGAAAAAAATAGCCAGAAAGGGCGCATTCAAAAACACAGGAAAAATTCATTCAGACATAAGTTTAAAATCCTAATAACATGAACTATCAAAAGCTCTTCTGAAGGCACTGATTTGCACGTTCTTTTTCTGTTTTCAAAAAGTATAACTTTAAAGTCCTCCTCTAATATTTCCTTGCTATAAGTCCCTAATATCAAAATAAAAGCCACCAAGACTTCTCTAGGAAGTAAATACAGAGTTTTAGGCTTTGCAACAGATACAAAAGAAGAAATAAATATAAGTACCTGATAATCCACAAACACTCTAGGAGGGGTGCACCATGCCCCTTTATACTGCAAACCAAAGAACTTCCTCCACTCAATCCAGTTGTAGCAGAACCAGTTGGAGAGTAAAGTACATTTGCCATTTCCTCATCCACAGATGCCCCTCCAGGGGCTTCACTCATGGCTCTCATTGCTACTACATACTCATAGGTTGTGATACCCTGATCCAATATGAAAACAAAAGCACATATTAGCATACTTCTTTTATCAGCTGAAATCACGACTACACAAGATTTAATAGTAATTGCCAAATTGCAGGTGCAGTATTTTTAATATTTTAGTTACCAAAAAAATAATATTATATTAAAATCCCTGAATTTTGTTGCTTTATTTGAATTATGTAATAGTCTTAATACTACACATAAAAGTAGACAAGAAAACAAGCAAAACTTGGGGAATGAACCAGAGGTATAGAGTTGATAGGATTGAGTTAGGGTGTTGAGCTTGGAGAAAGTATCTGGCTAAGCCAATCCAGACCATGCCGAGGGTTCTTATGTGTCACGGATAAGAGAAGTGCTACATGCTTGGGCAGCTAGGTTCCTATGATATAAACAAGACTAGCCAAACTCAGGCAATGAATAATTGAACAGCAAAGGTCCAATTCAAATAACCGGCCACATAAACATAAAGAGCAGGAACTAATCAAATGTTCATACCTAGTGGTTCAGAATAACTAATACCAGTTAAAGATATGAAATATAACAATAAGCCTCCAGGTCATCTATGTAAACGAAATCAATGAACATATTCGGTTCTTTAAGCCCATGCTTTCTTGAAAGTATCAATTGGATTTTAATCAGCCAAAAAAAAACCCTCCTTTATATATGATGTCCAAATGATAGAACGTAGGCATTGAAGACTTTAATTTTCTCCTAAACTTATTTAATTGGATAGAAGCAATATTATACTTATGGAGAGAACATATTTTTGCTCTACCTAAGACCAGTAACTCAAAAAATAAAAGAATTTATTCTAATAAAAAGAGGATAATTCTATACTAATTAACACAGAACGCCTAAACCAACCTTATTATCCCAGGAATAATTAAAAAACAAATAATCCCTAATAAAATTTATAATAATTTCCAACAATATCAACAACCTTCAGATCTCTATCATGGAATCCCATTTACTTCATCTGTTCCTTTTTATAAGAAACAATTTTTGGGTATGACTTGTTCCAATTTATAAGAAACACTTAAAGGGTTGTCTCCAATTTTTTTGGTAATTTTCCATTTTGCCCCATTTAGTTACTCATATTAATATCATTGCATTTATTATCAAGGTAAATTATTTAGATGGAAACTTCCCTTTCTTACACTCTCTCCCCATAAATAGGGTAATAAAGTTTCATTTTTTACATATTTACTGTCTCTAACTATTTTTTTTTTTTAATCAAAGTGATTCGTTTAATTATCTTTTATAAAAAGGAAAGGAACCGAGGGATTAGTGAACTAAAATAGCAAAGCAATGGTTCACCCCACACCAAGTAGCGGGGACAGATAAAGAAAAAGAACAGAAAAACAACCTCAGATCCTCAGTTACTGAGTCACTTACCTTCCTGATTAGTATCATGTGGAAAAAGAAAAGCTCACCCAGAGGCACGCAAGCCAAGACAGAAACTGCAGTACATACAGCCTACACAATGAATTTGGCGTAAGAACAAAATTTCCAAAAACTCAACTGTATAAAATGTGAAGCCAGGATTGCCATACAACATAATGTTTAAAGTAATACCACAACTGTTGCAAACGGAGGACGAGAGAATCCATTTCCAAGTCTATCAATAATTTCGGATTCCATGCCTCTCTTATTAACAAAGAAGCGGACTAAAACAGCAATACCCACTCCAGCTTCAATAACAAGCTGACAGAGTAAACAAGAATTTTTTATATAAAGAAAAGGATTATAAGGACCAAAGCAAATGAATTTCAGCAATTTTTTACCGGAAAAAAATAAATAAATTTCAGAAATTTAACAACTTGTACAGATAGATAAAATACGTACCCACATGAGACTAAAGGCCATGAGAGCAATGAAAGTAATATAATTTTTGTGACCCACGCAATTGTTAAGCCACTGCAGTAATGTTACATAAGCAAGAAAATCAGAACCGAAAAGAAATTACAAAATTATGACAATACAAGAAACTCAACAATTCCTCATATTAACATACCCTACAATGGTGATCAAAGCCATCAACACATTTATCACAACTTCTACAGTGTTTACTGAACTTCCGCACCTGAAACATGGAAACATTATACATATATCTATATATATAATCATACTGATAAAAGGAACACCAGCACAGGGGTTAAAATTTTTTTTTTAAAAAAGAAAATTCAATACTACTTCAATTTCATCCATTTGTAGCTATACGCAACTTTAGATGTTTTACACTCATAAAAATGGCAATAAGCTCATGCACACTGTATGTATGGTGCCAAGAAATTCTAGAAATAGATTATGAATCAAATGCTTTCATGCAGAGGACTGTATGTTGGAGTCATATAGACCAAAGTGAACTGCTGCAATAAAATATTAATAGGTTTTATTTGTGAAAATTAGATATTGCAAAACTTCGGTGCTGACAACATAATCTACTCCATTCTCACTATTGAAATGGGATGTACTAGCTTTTTTGATCGACCATTTTCAATCAAAAGCTTAAAGGGTGAAATAAAAGCTCAGGAATGAATTTACCGTAATCGCTAACAAGCCTATCCCGTAAGTATGAATAATACACACATCAATCATAACTTAAATTGTTAAGTGAAGCTCACAGATAGTTATGTTCTAATATTTAACGTAATAAAAGGTGAATTGTTAATGCAAAGTTATCCATACACCAAAGCATATTAGGAGATAAAGTTATAGTTTGCCTGCGAACATGCTATGGGTCACCAATATACTTCTCATAAAGTGAAGGCCTTTCTTTGGGTCCCAGCACTTAACACAACTAATGCAAATAAATCTTATTATATTTATCAAGTCCAAACAAACAAGTCGCCCTTATAAGACTTGGATTTCCAAATCAACTCAACAACAACAACAACAACAACAACAAGCTTTATCCCACTAGGTGGGGTCGGCTACATGAATCACACGACGCCATCGTGCTCTGTCAACAACCTAATCCTTAGATATGTTGTTGATTAGGAGGTCTCGTTCAATGACCTCATTCAGCGTTCTTCTCGGTCTTCCCCTGCCTCTTTTTATGGGACTCCATCTTATTTGATCCACCCTCCTCACCGGGGCCTCCAAAGGCCTTCTCTGCACATGTCCAAACCATCTTAAGCGATTTTCAACCATTTTCTCTTGGATAGGTGCCACACCGACTCTTGTCCTGATCTTTTCATTTCGAATCCTATCTTTTCTTGTATGACCACACATCCATCTCAACATCCTCATTTCTGCTACTCCGACTTTGTGCTCTTGTTTTCCTTTTATTGCCCAACATTCACTACCATACACATAGCTGGTCTTATAGCAGTCCGATAAAATTTTCCTTTAAGTTTCTCAGGTACCTTCTTATCGCAAATAACTCCGATAGCTTTCCTCCACTTTAACCAGCCAGCTTGTATTCTATGAGAAATGTCTCCATCAATTTTCCCATCCTCCTATATAAATCCTAGGTATTTAAACTTTGATACTTGAGGAATAATTTGCTCTCCCATCCTCACCTCCAAATCCCTATTACCTTGCCTCCCTCCAAAATCACAATGCATATATTCTGTTTTGTTCCTGCTCAAACGGAAACCTTTCGACTCCAAAGTCCTTCTCCATAACTCCAAACTAGTGTTAATCTCTTCTTTTGATTCCGCCATAAGAACTATATCATCCGCGAAGAGCATGGACTTAGGGATTCTTTCTTGAACAGGTTTAGTTAGAACATCCAGAACAATGTTGAACAAGTACGGACTCAGAGAGGATCCCTGATGTAGGCCAATCTTAATAGGAAAGTCCTTTGTCTCCCCCCCAGGCGTCCTTACCCTGGTAGTTACCGCCTCATACATATCTTGTATGACTTTGATATACACAACCCTTACACCTTTCTTTTCCAAAGCCTTCCACAATACTTCTCTTGGCACACAATCATAAGCCTTTTCCGGGTCAATAAAAACCATATGTAAATCTCTTCTTTTACTTTTATATCTCTCCATTAACCCCCTTAGTAAATAGATTGCTTCCGATGTGGATCTCCCTGGCATAAATCCAAATTGGTTTTTTGAAATAGAAGTCTCCAACCTCAATCTATATTCCATCACTTTTTCCCACAACTTCATTGTATGACTCATAAGTTTTATCCCCCTGTAGCTTGCACAGTTTTGAATGTCTCCTTTATTCTTGTAAATAGGAACTAAAATGCTTTTCCTCCACTCATCCGGCATATTTTTAGAGCGTAGAATTTCATTAAAAAGCTTGGTTAGCCATACCTCCCCCTCATCGCCCAAACATTTTCAAACTTCAATAGGGATACCATTAGGCCCAACGGCTTTTCCATTGTCCATTTTCTTGAGAGCCGCCTTAACCTCTCCGATACGTATCCTGCGGTAGAAAGCCAAATTCCGATCATCTTCGTTAATTAGCAAGTCCTGCAAGTCCTGAGTCGCATAATTGCTTCCCTCATTAAACAACTTATAAAAGTAAGCCTCCTATCTGTCCTTAATATCACCATCAATAACTAACACTTTACCATCTTCATCCTTTATACACTTAACTTGATCCAGATCTCTCTTTTTTCTCTCCCTTTGCTTCGCGATCTTGTAAATATTTCTTTCTCCCGTCTTTGTTCCTAACTCCTGATAAAACCCTTCATAAGCTTTAGTACGTGCTTCGCTCACTGCTCTCTTTGTCTCTTTTTTAGCCAACTAATACTTTTCCTGGTTCTCTACACTATTGCACAAGTGTATGGCCTTAAAACAATCTTTTTTCTGTTTGACTTTCTCTTGCACACTCTTATTCCACCACCAAGTCTCCTTATCTCTTTGACCAGGACCCTTAGATTCTCCCAAAATTGCTTTAGCTACCAAACGAACCCTTATAGCTATCTCTTCCCACATCATGTTTGCATTTCCCTGCAACTCCCAATTCCCTTCCTTCAAAAGAGTCCTTTTGAATAACTCCCGCTTCTCTCCTTTTAACTGCCACCACTTAATCCTGGGTTTTGCCACTTGATGATACTTTTGCCTGGTACTCTTAAAACATACATCAAGGATAAGTACTCCAAATCAACTCAAATGTGCTATATTTGATACAGCCAACAAACTTCAAAAACCTGAATAATAATCTAATTCGATAGCATCCCACAATATAAGTTGTAACAAATACAGATATGAGGATGTTAAAAAAATAAATAAATAAATAAACTCACTAGGGCCAGCAAGAACTTAAAAGTGAAATATTACAATGGTACACACATCAAAGAGTCAAGATGCAATACCTCAGCATTGCACAAAGTGCAGAACAGAGCATCTTCACCACCTTGCTGCTCAGCTGCTGCTTCCTGTTTCCGGCAATCTTCATGCACAAATAATATACAGAGAATTCCACCAAGTACATTACATGAACTTCTCTTATTGTGATCCCCCGAGATATCTTCTCTATCAAGATAGTCCACAGAGCTTTTCTTGCTCATATTAGTCATAGACCTTTTAGATGATGATGGAGATGACTGCTCGCCAGCAGCAATTTCATCATTTTCTGAAGGTTGGTGCTTCATTGCTAAATGATGGTCTGAATTGATCTTGTGTTCCACACTTGGATCAAATTTAGACATGATGCCAGGATCTGCGGGATTAATCGCAGTACATCTGATATAAAGAATAAAAACGACGAGTGCCTGCAATGTCAATGACAAGAATGAGGCGGTGATGTAACCTCTCATTTTTATAGCTAAATTTAAAATTGGCCAAAAAAAAAAGGCTTATATTAATGAAGAATGTGACAAATGTAACAATCAGTAGCATAGCACTACCCAAATACACAATAGCATCCTTGTTGAATGTCTCCTCCCTTTACAACCAACCAAAAATAACAGAGAAGGGGGTCCCACTTAAGGAGCATGCACCAACATCCAAATGGTGATCCCATTGTAACTGAACTGAACAAATACATATACAATGGATTCATAAAGCATCTATTGTTATATTATAATATAGGTATAGAGTTTTTTTTTTTTCATTTTTGGGTATATAACAGTGTTCAGTTTATTAAATTACTCTACTTATAGAAGGATGTAGTTAGCTTAGTGCAGTCTTGCAATTTTATCCAAACAAGAGGGCAAGGGGTTCAAGGTTAAAACTCTTCCCTAGAAATTCGTTGTTTCTAGTTGCAACTTTAAGACCATGGCAGTAACCTTTGGACCAGAGAAACATACAATCTACCTATGTCGGCCACTTCAAGCTAAAACGGACATTTCAGAGATGTATTAATGACTACAGTTGAAGGGGCTGAATTCAACTGAACCAGAAACTCTAGCTGTTCATTGGTCAGCTAGCAGGTCTAGCCCAGTTCGTTCAACATTGCAGGAAGGTCTTCTTATACTAGAACATATTTCTTGAAAAACCTATCGGAAAAGTGATACAAAACTCAGTAGAATTTTTGCTTTTAGCATGATAAAAAATGATATAGGATAAAGACAACATAAAAGGATGCATAATGTTGCTACGATCCGTTCTTCACCAAACTGACGGAAAGCAGTAAACAGACATAAGAACATGTTAAATACACCGAAAGAAAACATTCCCAAGCAGACAAATTGATTAATACTACAATTTTTCCTGATTATTCAACATATTAGGAATCTTCAAAATGATTTCCACTGAATTTTTCCCCACACTCAACTCTCTGTCTTCCTCCTTTCGAACCTCGAAACTACCCTCAATGCCCTCCAAAATGGTGATCATATATGTCAGAGGGCAACAATTAACCCCACAACTGTCCAAAAATGTTAATACAAGCCTGCTGCCCAAAACTGCCCCAAGTGTCAAAACAGTTAGTTTCCTAAAAGCCACCCACGTTGTTGCCCAGAAAAGTTAGATAATTGAGTATCCCAGACTCATCTAAATAATAGGATTTTTGTCTTTTTCTTTTTTGGCCAAACAGGATTGTGCTTTTCTTCCTCTTCTGTTTTTCCCATATTTATCAGTATCTTTTAAGTAATAGCATAAACAAAGTTTTGGGGGCTATCAACTTTAACCCTTCATTCACAAGTCTACGCAATTATTAATCTTCCCATGCCCTGGCCGTATTTCAGTCCAACCTAGAAATTTCAAAATATTGCAGCGCAATTTTACCCACATAGGTCTCTTACTGTCCTTTTTTTTAGGTGAACCAAGGGTATCCCCAAGTCACATTGGACTTGAGGAGATTTCTTACTGTCTTCGTTTACAGTCAGTTATCACATACGTACCTTGACAATGCATATGAACTTCAAAGCCAAAATATATAGAGTTCATTATTGAATAAAGTTAATTTTTCAAACATCCATTAAAACAAAATAGCAACGAATCTCCCATATGCATATCAATTGAAAAAAAAAAAGAGGCCATCAATTTTTACTCTTCCTATTTATAAAGTCTGTGCAACTATTAAGCTTTCCATTCACCGAATCTCAGTCCAAACTACAAATTTCAAAATAGTGCAGAGAATCCACATTGGTTTTTTTTTTGCTGTAATTTCAAAACAGTGCAGAGTAATTTTATTCACATAGATTTTTTACTGTCTTTTTTGACAGTCAGGTATCTCATGCGTTAAATTACTATCAGTATCTATACCAGTAGCCAATGGATTATAGTAATTGGATGTCTATTTTCAGATCTCCCGCATGTCATGCATTTGGGGTCATGGAAGTACAGTACAATTTACAAACACCTCGTCTTCACAAATGAAGTAATCTATTAGACCATAATAATCAATATCCAGCCACTAAGGTTAAATTAGCCATTGGCCAGATAAGTGAACAAACGAGATCAATTTAACTCTGTAGCCCAAAATATTAACTAAACAGCCGTTCCTCTCATGCGTCAAAAAGCAATGAGCCAGGATCACTCTCCACAGTTGCTAAGATGATGTTACCCAATACAAATTAAAACACATATGACAAGTCAATATAATTAAAGTTTGGCATTGAAAAATAGCAAATTCACATACCACTGGAGAGTAAATACCAATGAAGATGTACTCCCAAAGATGACCTCCAACAAAGGGTGCAAAAAAAGCATAGAAAGCAACCACCAAGAAGCAGAATACAGTGATAGCCACAACCTATTCGTGTACAGACAACAATGTAAGAATAATAAGTTGATATGCCTGCAAGTGATAAATTAATTGAGAACAGAAGTCAATTTAATCAAAATGCTACACCTCAAATATACCATCAGACCACTAAGGACAACAAGTTTGACATAGACGAATCTAACAAGAATAGTGGACTCTGAGGATAACAAACTGCAAATAATAAGAATAGTCACCCGCTCTTCACAGCAAGTGTTCCTACCTCCGGTCCTTCATATAAAAGCCAGTTAACTAATTTAAATAGATTAAAAAAACCTAGTTACATTAGTTATTTGTAATAAATAAGTGTTGTCTTTCCTAAAATATCCTTGCTAATTAAATATATTGGCTAGAACTACTATTATTACAAGAACTACTGTGGGGGGAAAAATGGATAAATATGAAAGATAAAGTAGATTGGTGTCTTATAATTAGGACTAAAATAAAAATCAAATGAACTCTTATATTAAGGACCGGAGGTAGTATTTATGATACAGCAACCCTTTGCCAATATATAAAGTGTATCGGAGTCTGAAGTTATGTTCGATGTTCTGAACTCTAATGCTTAGAGTATAAGTACCCATATAGTTCAGTGCAAAAGCTTAATACTGAATTACATATTACTGTGGGCTTGGGCCTAGGCCCACTAAACTTATTAAACTAATACATCAACATTCTTTCTATTCAGCATCATTTTATCTCTTAGCCCTGAAGCAAAGCATGCGAAGGGGTTTTCCACTGGTTTAATCGCTATCTCTTTCTATCCTTATGATTCATCAGTATTCATAATAGAATACTTCCACAACAAAAGGGAACCGTGTTATACTCCGACTCATTATAAACTTAAGCCACGAAATGTTTGTTTGGTTCATTACTCATTATCACAAGGAAGAGAGGGACTACAAAGGCCTTCTTAATTTTACCTTAAACAGTAAAATAATTTCATCTTAATCACTTGCTTATGTTCAGAAGATTACCAAAAAAAAAAAAAAAATCTTCTGAGAACACAGAAAGGTATCAATATGGTTGACTACTTGAAATCCCAACAAGACATAGAAAATCCATCTGCCTCAGAAAAACTTGGGAAGATAATCAGATCTCTTCAGTTAAGTCATACGTAGGATATTAGATCTCACAGAAAAAATTGGGGGAAATAACTTGTCATTGCAGAGACTAGTTACATAAAAGATGGTAGAAACAATTATTTTCTCTACAGCTTCTGGTGAAGAGGGGCCAAGAGGAAGAAGTACACTATCACCCGAATACCAATCCTCTGAAGCAGAGGATCTATAAATTTAGTGAAGATTGCCTCTTTTTTTTTCCCCCGGGGGGGTGGTTTAGACAAAGCAAATAAACTTGAGAAAAATTCAGAGATCCTCTGCTTCCCTGCTACACCTTGGATCAACTTTCACGAAGAAGAGAATGATTTTACTTCAACAAAATTAGAACCTCAGGCATTCCTCTCGAAGAAAAACACCAAAGGGAAGGAGAAATAAAGCTAATCATATACAATGCAGAAAACCAGTTTCCCCTAGATATTTCGGGAAGACCTTGAGACAAACATTTTAGAAATTTTTTATACGAATCCCCAAACTAAATCGGTCAAAAAAAATGGATTAAAAAAAAGTCAAATAGCAAAAAGTTTCATAAAATACAAACAATACTAGGGAAAGCGTGATTAAAACCAGGGCTGTGTATGCAAACTTGTGAGAAAAGTCCTCTACAAGTCTACATTACTCTCAGGGTTCACGAAATTGACCTTTCTCGGCCATCAATAACAGAATTAGTAACTTAATCACGGTGCATGAACAAGAACGAAGTACTTATATGAAAGCGTAACAGCCGGGGAACAGAAAACCAAATTACAAGAATTAACCTATACAAACAAATGAAATGAAAGCCCATAACACTAAATCACTGGTTCTGACAGCCCTAGTAAAAGATCGCTCGAGAAAACAAATTTCTGGGCAAAAATAGAAAATTAGAAGAAAAAAAGTAAAACCCACAGAGTAGAAAAAATGAGGACTGGCATTTACCTGAAATGTATGAGCTGGCAGTTGCCAGCCATGTTTTCTCACCATATCCACCCAATTCCGAGCGAAAATCGAGCTTATACACTGGAGTTAAGACTGAGGAAGAACTGGCGAGAGAAAAGGGAAGACCCTGCGACAAACCGGCAAGGCGGAATTCCCTCTTCAGAAGGCAAAAAGCCAAAAGCGAAAAGATAAAGTGAAACTTGCAATAATAATTATTATTTAATTTTTAATTTTAATTTTAATTTCACCTTTAATGTACAAGCACAACACCTCAATGTTTTTTCGCCCTTTTGGCTAACCTAACAAATTTTAAAATACTTCATGAATCTTATGCTATACTCTATAAAAAAAAATTTCTTAATTTTGAAACTTTACAATAAATTCTTCTAATTTTTTGTATTTATACAAATAACTGAAATGCTATTATTTTTATTTATTATTTACCAGCAAATAATTTAAAGTTCAGAAGGACTTGAAAGTTTATTATTTATTTACATATAACTCAAAGTTTGAAGGAGTCATATATATACACACACAAAAATAAAATTTAATAGAGCATATAATTAATAGTTTGGAGTTATTTGCATTGACTTAAAAATTTGAAGAGGCTTATTGTATAGTTTTAAAGGTTGATTAGGCTATCTGCACATGACATAAAATTCAGCAAATATTTTGTATAATTTAACTAAATTTTAAATATTTATAGCTTTTGTTTGGTGATAAATATATTTATAGCTTCTTGGACATCAATTATGATGAATAGTAGGATATTTTTAACTTAAAAAATACAGCCGACGTGCTTTTAAAATAATCATGAGAAAGCGACGTTTAAGAATTCATAGGTCAAATTTGGGTCATTAGAGAGCTTTAATTTAATTATGCTTAAAATATTGATCCGAGAACCTAAAAAGCTTGAATGGAAAAGCAAAATCATCTTTAATGCCATTAAGGATGTAAAGATTGAATAATAAATGTCAAAATCAAATGATAGCCAATAATAAAAAAATTTTAAGAATCATCACTTAGTTTCTGTGTTGCCGTTTTTCATGCTTTTGAACTAATAAATACTACCTTCGGGTCTAATTATAAGAGCTATTTAATTAATTTGAGAATATTAAGAAAATAAGTTAAGTTAATTATTTGTAATAAATATGTGTCATCTTTTCTAAAATATCCAACTATATTGGCTAGAACTATTATTGTTAGAAGGACTATCTTGAAAAAAAATACATAAATATGAGAAATAAAGTGGATTGGGGTCTTATATTTAGAATCAAAATAAAAATCAAATAAGGTATTATATTAAGAACCAGAGGTAGTAATATTAAGCATGTTTTGGCCCGAAAGAAGAATAACATTAAAATTGTGGGTTTGATAATTTCATCTTAATAGCAATTATTTTGAATATCAATTGGGCTCTTAAATAGAGTTTTCGCCAATTATATTCTCATCCATCAATAATTATGTTTATAATGTCAAAACCATAATTTTACATAGGCAAAAGTAGTCAATGGCCTTATGCCTAATGCCATAATTATTCCAAAAAAAGTTAGCTGCCAGGATAAATTTTTTTTATCTTTTGAATATTTTTAAATTTAGCGTAGTTATTAGCTATTGTGAGCATCAAAGGGTTCCATACTAGCATAGTACTCCTCCGGTCCTTATTATAAGACCCAATTTGACTTTTTATTTGGTCCTAATTATAAGACCCAATCCATTTTGTCTCTTATATTTATGCATTTTTTTCCAAGATAATCCTTCTAATAATGATAGTTTTAGCCAATATACTTAATTAGCAAGGATATTTTAGGAATGACAACACTTATTTATTATAAATAACCAACTTAACTTACTTCCTTAATTTCTTCAAATAAGTCAATTGGGTCTTATAATTAGCACCGGAGGAGTAGTTTCTAAGAATTATTACTTTCTTATTGTCACTAGTTAACGCTCATGAACAATATGTTTGTATTAACCTTGGCAAAAGTGATTTTTATTGCAAATTAATTTTGCAAATTCAATTGAGATAAAAATTAATGAGTATAATATGATTTATGTTTAGATAAATTTTTATAAAGAATTCATTTTGAGATAAATTTATGTAGATGATATATTGAAAAATCAGTTTCAGGATATTTAAATTTGGCAAAAAAGTTAAAAGAAGGTTATAAAAATTTGTTTCAAACTTTTAACCTGGCTTTTATTTTTTTTAAGCACATTTATTGTTCTATTGAAGACGATCATGTTCGAGATATTATCGAACTAAATGTGAATACTTCTTTGAATAGGAATCCAAGCATTAATTCGTCACATTGTGGAAAACTAATATCTTTAATTAAACATAATCTAAATATTTTGTTTTCTTTCAACTGACTTTTTTTCAGGTCAACTGCACTTTGGGTATTTGAAATGCCAATCCAAATATGTTATTGCCATTGTAATACTGTTGGGTGCTTACAATTTTAAAGTAACTAAAAGATTTTTTTTCCCCTCATGAATTGTGAGCTATTTGTACCTTCCCAAGGCTAGGAGTCGAAGGATTGAATTAATTTAATATTACAACCAAAATAAGATTTGGGAATATCAGAACAACGATCAATGGTTTTTTTCGATGATTTGATGCTCTTGCCACTTCATTTGCAATTTTGTGACCACTAATTGACGAGTAAGATTAATTTATTTATAAAAGATATGAGAAAATTTAAATTAATTATTAAAGATATCATGATTTCTTATAGTTTGTTTTCAAATTTATAACTTTGTGATTACAAATTTGCAAGTGTTAATTCATCTGTTCATAAAAAGAATATGAAGAATTTTTATGACTTATAGTAGATTGCTACTTAGGAGGTGTTTGAGAAGCCTAATAAGTACTTTTCAAAAGCATTTTTCTGCAAATTGAGACAAATTACTCCATATATTTACTTCGTATACCGTAAAAGCACTTCAGAAACTATGATTTTGATCTTACCAAAACACTTTTTTAAATTTGTTGGTGGAAGGAGAACCTCTTAGAATCCTTCCTCTTCTTTTCTTCTCAAATTCTTATTTCTACAGTTAGATTAAAGAATAAATAGTTTAGATTTAATATTCTAAAAATATTTTGGACATCTATTTTAAAAAATATTAAATCTAAACTATCTATTTTTTAATTCAACGGTGAAAATAAGATTTTGAAAAGAGAATGAGTAAGAGGAATTTTGATTCATTTTGCTGGTTTGTAAATTTTTAACCATTAATTTGCCAGTAAAATTTGTCTTTTTATATTCCTTGATTTACCACCTCTTAACCATTAATTTGTAAATAAATCCGTCTACAATTTCAGTGCTATCTCTCATGACAAATTTAACTTTCCATTTTTAGTCATCTAATCCTATTTATAGGGTAGAGAGATAAAATATTTTTTGTCATATTTATAGAGTACTAAGAGAAATTTTTTTTATATGAATGTACAAACTTACTCTTTATTTATTATGGTATTGATTTTGTTTGCATAAGGTATAATATATACTAAATAGGGATAAAATTGAAAATTTATTGAATTATAAATGATAGTTAATGAAGTTTAAGATTTTTCTTAATTTGTGTGAAACATATTAAAAGTGACCTATAAATAAAATCAGAGAATTTTTTTTTTTTTATATCTAAGTGCCTGCCTCTGTTTAACATTTTAACTTACTGTGTGTCTCTGCTTTATTAAAGGGCATAATGGATGACCAAAATCGGTCTTTTTTGTTTTTTTAATTATAATTTACGCACTCATTATATTATTCATAAAGAATTTAAGCTCAAAACTTCACATTTAAAAAAAAAAATAAAGGAAGTTTCTAATGTTATTGGGCTATAAAAGCCCGACGAATTGGTCCCTTATATTTGGACTCCAACATATACTAGGGAGAAAATGATCCAAAACCTCTGAAATATGAGAATTCTAACATAGTATCTCAAAATAACTTAGGGAGTGTTTAGATGGAAACCAAACCATGATTTTAGAAGTTCTTTTACGGTTTACGAAATAAATATGTGAAGGAGTTTGTCTCGTTTTGCGGAAAAGTGCTTCTAAGAAGCACTTTTAAAGGTTGTCAAACACCTTCTTAGGGCCTGTTTGGGTGCTCCAAAACTGTGGTTTCAGAAGCACTTTTCCGCAAAACGAGGTAACCTCCTCCATATATTTACTTCGTAATCCGTAAAAGCACTTCTGAAACCATGGTTTGGTTTCTATCCAAACACTCCCTTAGTCTTTACCCATGAAGTTCTTTAACAATTGTTGAAAAGATTGCAATTATTCATGAACTATATCTTTGTTGGAGTAGAGGATACAAAAGAGTGGAAATACGATCTGGCTGCATTAAAGTTATTAATCTTGTTCCGACAGGATGTGATAAAAACCACCCTTTTCAAAGACGTAGTTGATGAAATTAGAAATTTATTCCATAGGAACTGGCATACTGTAATTAAACATGTCTTTAGAGATAGTAACATCAAAGCTGATCACCTTGCTAAACTTGCTCGTGATCTCATAGAGAATTTTTGTATCTTTGATCAACTATCACCTCTTACATAACAGGTACGGTTGTTGATGAAAAAAGATAGATTTTTCTTAGTCGTTTTGATTAGGTCAACTTTTAGGTTTTCCTGTCTGACTTGTATTTTTTGTTAAAATAATGTTATTCAATACTTACTCAAAAAAAGAGATATCATTTTAAAATTAAGTTATTTGTAAAGTAATCTATTTTTTGTAAATTAATCTAATTGACTCAATTGTCCTTGTATAACTTCATCCAGAAAGAGCGCCGATAGAAGAAATTTTACACAATGTGCATAAAGCCATTTGGAACATTTCACAAAGAAACTTAATTTCAGAATTCTATAGGAATTAAAATGATTTTGAAAAACCGTTTTGAGATTTTCATATTTGGAAGGTTTTTAGATGTCTTTCTCCCTTCTCATTAGTGGTACACCTAAATGGCTGCCCTTAATTTCTGCTATTTTTAGTTTCAAGTTGAGTTTAGATGTGATAGAAAACCTAAAATGATCAACAGTTTCTTCATTTTTGATTGAGTTGAGTAAGTCTCGGAGACTTATCCAGGGGACGCTGCTGTTAATTTCTAGCTAGGTGGAATATATGTAACGTGAGAGTTATCAATTTTGTTCCATATTCTATTTTCTGAATACTCATTTTAAAATTCTGATTATTTCGTAAATTGAAAAGAGACCATGTGACATGTGTCACGGTTTTGATAATTGAAGACAATGATTTATTGTAATAGTTAGTTTCTTTATTTATATGTACTGTCTCATTTCCTTAATATAAGGACTAAATACTACCTCCGGTCCTAATTATAAGAACTAGTTGACTAATTTGAGGAAATTAAAAAAAATAAGTTAAGCTAGTTATTTGTAATAAATAGGTGTTGTCTTTCCTAAAATATCCTTGCTAATTAAGTATATTGGTTAGAACTATCATTATTAGAAGGATTAGTTTGAAAAAAAAATGCACAAATATGAAAAACAAAATGGATTGGGGTCTTATATTTAGGATCAAAATAAATGTCAATTGATATTTTATATTAAGGATCGGAGGTAGTAATTAATTTGAGTTTGGACAAAAAATAAGTAATTTGAAAACATTAAAAAAAATAGTTAAATTAATTATTTTGCATCAGATGTGGATTGGTTTTCTTATAATACACTTTCTAATCATAGGTATTGTAACTAGAGCTCATTTACTATGTGTAATAATAGGAGTACTGTGAAAAAGAAAATATAAATTTGAAAGGTAAATAGAATTGACGTCTTGTACTATTATTTAAGACTAAAATAAACTTATTGTCTAATTCTTAAATCCAAGAGCTAAGGTGGCAGCTTAGTTGTTCTATCATCAAGGACTCTTTATTTTCTCCCCGTGCACACACCAGGCATCTAGGTTTGCCTCTTTTAACTTGAAGATTTAACAAACCTACAGGGTATTTGGATAGAAACTAAACTATAGTTTCAATAATAATTTTACGGTATACAAAGTAAATATATAGATGAATTTATCTTGATTTACAGAAAAGTATTTTTTAAAAATACTTCTCATGCTATCCAAACACCTCTCTAGACTAATTCGGATCAAGTAATGTAGAAGTCTTTTGGGTGGCATCTCTACCACTAGGATTTAATACTACGTATTCTCAAGTTCAAACTCAAAAGTTCTGATTGTGTTTGGTTTACTTATAAAAGCATTTTTACAAATATCTTTCTTACGTGGTTGAAACAACGCTGCCACCCAAAGTGCCGGGTGTTCCACCAGGGACATTGTATGGAATTTAGAAAGGATCACAGGGCATCTTTTTAAAATGCACCACGTGCATCTTCCTCGCTTGGGAGGTACAAGGTGCCAGGTTTTGACCACTGCGAGGTCAAGCTTCAGTTCAACAAGAGCATCCGCATGATAGCATCTTTGTCATCTTCCATACCTTTTTTTTTTTTAATCTCGTTTAGTTGGCGAACGCTGACCCACTGCTTCTTGTCTTTTTTTTTTTTTTAAATAAAATTTTTGTGTTTAAATGTTATGGGAAAATAAAAAAACTGTTCTCAAATATTACATTCGGTTGTAAGTATACCACCAAGGCCGCATGTTTATTTTAATATTACCTTGAATCTTAATTATGAAACTTTATTTGTAAACCACAAACGAGATCTTATAATCAAGATCAGAGGGAGTACTAAATATAAAATTTTAGTTTACTTTATTTTTCATATTATATTATCTTCGATCTTAATATAAAAACTAGATTTCGGGTTTATTTTAATTCTAATATTCTTTCTTTGTTTTTAAATTGTTACCGGAAAATAAATATAATGAAAATACCATGTGTTTATTTTGTTTGTTAAATATAAGATTTTAATTAGCTTTATCTTTCAAATTATACTACCTCCAATTTTAAATATAAGAGCTAGATAAGAGGTTTATTTTGACCCTATATTTAGGATCTTAAGTAATAGCTTGTCTTGCATGCATGTTTTGGGGTTAAGTAATAGCTAACACTCTAATATTATTTTCTAATTGTATCTAGCCTCTTAACTTTATTTTTGGTGCATCCAGCACCCTTATTTAATTAGGGACAAATTTAAAAAAATATTTGTCAGCCATATACAAATTTTTTTGGTCATGCCTATTTTGACAACTGCTTACTATATTTCAGGGAGGAGAAAGCATGTCAAACATTTAATATGAATATTTTTATAAAATTTAAATTTATAATATATTTTAAAAAAACTTGACTAATCTTAATCATATTATTTGAGTTTAAAAAAAAAGAGTTTAGACCATTCGATTGTTTTTGTTTCTTATTAAAAAAAAAAATGGAGGGAGTATATTTTAGTGTTGCACGATGTTGGATTTCCATGTCTTTTCTGTCTTCTTGCTGTTTTAGGTGATCTCTTCTCCTAATTTTTGTTTTTTTAACCGTCACTGTTTGGTTTGCGCTTCATTACTTCTGATCAGTGAACTTGCACGGGGTATGGTGCTATTTAGGTAGAATAAAAAAAGTTCTGAACAGGTTACAGAGATAAGTGAGAGATTCTGGAGATGGTAAAGTTGGCGGGTAGATAATCTGTCACTACCATTTTAAAATACAGTGAATCCAGCACAATCTGATGCATTTTCACTTGTTAATTATTAGTTCCTCAAATTCCAGTGGGCTTTGAGCGTCCTCATCATTCCGTTTTATCAACTTTTCCCCCAAATATTCTTTTTGGGATGCTCGTGCACTCGTGCATTTGAAGACTACACCGTTTAGCTCTCAAGTTGGCATCACTCCCTCTGCCGTTTCTTGCGCTTTCTGTGTTTTTCTTGGAATTCAATGGAGAAAACAGATGCAGATGCAGATGCAGATGCTGGAGTTCGAAGTGATGGAGAGTCCTTGTCGGATCCTGCTCATTATCATCGTCTACAGGTGATTTCACAAATCTGAATGGTAGAAACTTTTTTGTTTTTGGTGCCTGGGTTTTCTCTGGATCAAACGGGTTCAAAACCATACAGAGGAGAACAAAACGAAAGAAAATGGAAATTTAAAAAAAAAAAAAGGGAAAAGAATTTGAGTCTCCTGTTTCTACTTGTTGTATTAAGTTCCATCACTGAGCACAGGAAAATCGATCTGAAAAACGAGAAAGAAAGTGAATTAGGACGAGTGTTTTCCCTTCTGCTCTGAGTTCCAGTGATTTAAAGGTTCTCAAAGCTGAATTGTTTATGATCACGTTTCCTTTTAATTTCTCCCTTGTTACTGTTTTTCTGGGTTTGCTTCATTCAGTAGTCAGGATGGCTGACTACACTGTTCGTAAAACGGGTGGCTTACACTTCAAAATGGTATTGCTTGTGACGTTAATTTGAGGTACTACGTAGCAAAACAATGAGGTCTGGCGCTTAGTATAAACGGATTGGAGTTTAATTGCTAATTTATGTCTTAGTTTATTATTTATTAGATTACATCAAGTTAAAAATAATTTTCAAGTTTGGGCTTGCTTGATGACCATCAAGTAGTGCCTTCTATTGTGATCGCAAAAGATAAACTCAAATTGGCCATGATCTGGGAAGCAACCTTGCCACATACCATTTTTGATACCTGTCTATTGTGAGAGTTAAAATAGGCTAAAGGAAGTATGCCAACAATGAACATAAATCTACATAAAAGGGGGAAAAACAGGGATACTAACTAATTTACCTACAGCTTTGACCTTTTGTACCTTTCTCAAATTTGTTGAGCTCTTTGTTTGATGAACTAGTTTCGGCAACATTCCAGACATGCACAGGAAATGAAAAAGCTGATAATTGCTCCTTGCTTCTGCAGTCCAGACGACCAAGCCTCACCTCTTTGCATATACCAGTAAGGTCAATAGAAAGTGCGTTATCATCTTCTGCAAAGACGGAGGTTCTATCACTGTCAAGTCCAGGTTCCTTCCGAGGAGGACTGCCTCCAAGACCTAGTTCAACCAGAGTCAAGTCTTCCATGAGAAGTTTACTTCCTCAGAGGAGCTTAAAGGCAAAAAATTGTTCTCCAGATTGTGAAAGGGAAGTTCTCATTGTTTCTGATATTCCCTCATCAGATGGAACTTTGCATAAGCCTTCAGCTTCAAGGTCCCTTTCTTTTAATAAGGTTCTGTTCTCTTCATCAACAAAAACATCAAATTCATTACCGGTCACACCAATTGCAAATACAGTTGCAGAGACTGTGCATGGAAGTCATCCAGGAAGCGGTCCTGACCTAAGTGTATGTTTCATATGCTGATTCTTGTCCTCCATAATTTGAAGATCCAAACAATAAATTTTATACTCTACTCAGTAAAAATTTTGAATTTTGTTGGACCTAAAATGGGTATATGTGTACTCATATTTTGCTGCATTAGTGAATAATATATTCTTTTTCATATATACGTAGAAAGTGGAAGTCAAGCATCACATGACTCGATCATTTTCAGTTCCAGTTAATATCAAATCCTCTAGTTTAAAGCGAACAGGTTCTAGTGGTTTGATGCGAGTAATTTCAGCAAGACCACATCCTGCAGCTGTTAATGGCCATTCATTTGATAAAGCTTCAGTGCCAGAGATTGGTAATTCTTTGTATTACATGAAAGTTATATTATTTTTCTACCATCTTTTGTTTCTTGACCAAGAATATGTCTAATATGAGCCTCTGAAACATCTCTCTGTTTTGACGAGCAGCATTCATGACCTTACTGATAGATGAATGAAAATATGTTGATTTACGAAAGAATATAATGAAAAATTTTCTCTCTTACCTTTGGATGCTATCATTTTAAAGCAATTCCATCTTCTCTAGTAAAGAAATGATGATCATAAAAATTTTCTATGCATCTAGGACAATTTATTGGCACTATTATATGTAAAAATATTTTTATAAACTTTTTTTTATGCATATTAATTTACTGTCCCCTAGTCCTTGGTTTCCTAGTTAATTTTATGCCAAAATTCCTTCTCTTCCTGCTTTCTCCACCTTCTTCCTTTTCCAGTTCCAGCAATTGAAGATGCTACTGAGGACATTCCTGAAGAAGAAGCAGTTTGTAGGATTTGTTTAATGGGGCTGGAAGAAGGGGGGGATACCCTTAAGATGGAGTGCAGTTGTAGAGGAGACCTTGCGCTTGCTCACCAAGAGTGTGCAGTGAAGTGGTTTAGTATAAAAGGAAACAAGACATGTGATGTTTGCAAGCAGGATGTCCAAAATCTTCCAGTGACTCTGTTGAAAATCCAAAGTCCTCATCCTACTGCTGGACGGTCATCAAATACCCCACAGGAGACAGAAGTTTCTTTTCACAGGCAAGTTTAAGTGCTTCAATGTGCTAGCTCTTCTTGTGTTCAAAGTCCTTTCAAGCTGACACATAACAGACTTAAACAAGTTCTTTTGTAACACATGCTTTCTTCATACTTCCCTTGTAATTTTTAATTATAAATTAGCTAGAAACTTTACTCTAATCATAAAATCAGGGATGATGATAATTTTCTTTTAGCTTGTGTTTGACATCTGCCCTATTAGGCGGCAAACTTAAAAAATTCATAGCTAGATTTAGAAAGATTGAAATGAGACAAGCTTTGGCTTGTTTCCTCTATAACAGAAAAAATATCGTCATACAAATTTAGAATATCTTTAACACCTTAGAATTTACATAAACGTGGCTGGCCGATGAGCAAGAATTCTGGATATTTATAAAATTCAAGCTTGACTTTGTAATTTTGTTGCTCATGCCACAAATTTTCAAATAACATGAACGGGTATTTATTTTAAAGTTCTATCATTCCTCTAGAACATCAAATATATCTAAGAATCATGGGTCCAAAAAATTTAAACCAACAATAATATCTAAGACAACTATATAAGATTCTTTTCAATTCCTTATTCTAAGTGTAAATAAAATTCTAACTAACAAAATATATTAAATAAATATTTGTTCTCTCAAGACTCATTGTCAACTGCCAACTTGCTTCTCTATATCCTTTCCTAGCTTCACCTAGCATGGCTTAGTAAAATGGGGCAAGATGTGGGGGAATAAACAACTGACAATTCAAGCATGTTATCATCACTCAAGCAATGGAATACAAGCACATAACATCATGAGTCATTATACATGAGATACAAGATGTAGCATCCATATAACTTAGTACATCATAAACTCAGAATTCATGCTTCTCTTTATGTGACCAAATTTCATCCTAGAAAAATTATAATTACCGTACACTGACCTCCTGTATGAAGGACCGCCATTGGTCAATGAGTGTACTTGAAGGCACCAAAGGGGAGATCGGGTAATGAAGGGCTATCAGGACAATGATGTGATGATAGTAAACAGAAGAGGCCTGGGGATTTAGGCAGGTGGAAGTCAGCTGGGGGAATACGAAGGGAGAAGAAAAGAGAGAGGCAGATTCTGAAGAAGAAAACTAATGTAAAACAATGAAGGCAAAAGGGGGAGGGAGGAGGAGGAGAGAGGTAGAAACAAAGAGGGAGAAAATAGAGAGAAATTGAGGGAAAGAGACTGAAAAATTCTCAAAACTTTTTAACAGGCCAAACGAAGTACAAGTGAATATGGGCTTATTTATAGTGCCTTTATTCTAGTTAATCTAGACTAATGTAATGTGGAAAGATAAGATAAACTTTTTTTTTTCTTTTCATTTTTTAATTCTTAGGAAGTCTACGCTATTTTTAAATAAAGAATATTGTTAATATTAATGACTAAAATACCCTTTTAATTGATATTTTAATTTTTTTTATTTGTCTAGTCTTTTTCTTTCTTTTTTCTTTTTTTTTTTTTTTTTTGTTCTGTGCTTTTTAGTGGTTCTAATTATGTTGCATTCTACTCATTCATGCATGACAGGATCTGGCAGGATGTACCGGTACTTGTCTTGGTCAGCATGCTAGCTTATTTTTGCTTTTTAGAGCAACTTCTGGTATGGCTTTTTTATTTTATTTAACCGTTTCTAGTGCCAAATTATAAGTTGGTCCTCTTTGAAGAATAATTTATCCTTTCGATGGTCTTAATGGGTCTGACGTCATCTACTTTGCAGAAAAATCATTGGCGTAGTGTTGTAATAATCACTAAATAATGTAGGAGTGGTAACCTCGTCACTAATACTGCATTTTGGGGCCAGATTTACAAGAGAAGGGCCCAAACAAAGGGGGCAGGCCTAAGTCAGGGGCATATTGGGAATCAGGGTGCCTAACGATCATCTGAAAGTGTCAGGGTAGTGGAGTGCTTGAAGTAAAAGTAGCATGAGCGACGTAGGAGGAGAGCAGAGTGTGACTGGTTTCGAGGGAGGTCCTGGTCTCTTGACACTGTCAGATGATTGTTAGGCCGCTGATTCCCAATATGCCCCTGAATTGGGCCTGTCTCCTCTGTTTGGGCTTTTCTCTTGTAAGTCTGGCCCCAAAATGCAGTACTAGGTCCATCAAGAGACAATAATAGTGACCGTACACGTTGGCTATTGAAGTCAACGTCTACACTTAACCGTAGCAATGATTGAACTTACCAAAATGAGTCCTCACAAGCATCTGATTATCATTTTGTCTCAAGGAACACATCTGTTCTCTCACTACCCTCTCCGCCCCAAGTTAGTCAAAGCTTCGGAAAGAGGTCTAGAAAAAGATGCAGGTGACCAATGAATTAAAAAAAAAAAAAACAAATAAGATCACAACAAATATTCACAACTTGTAAATTAGGGAAGGAATGAACATTTATTCCTGTTATTGTATGGAGTAATAGTAGGATAAATATCCCTACAAAGTGGATTGTAGTTGCTGCTGCCAAGTATGAATATGCAAATCTGGATTAGCTAATTTAGGGGGAAAAAACTTTTAGTCTTTGAACTTTGCCTTAATTATTGATTCATTTCATAAACTTTGACTCAGAACAATTCAGTCCTTGTATTTTACTGAGTCAAGGAATTATGGGGCAATAAAAGTACAAGAACTGACTTGTTCCGATTTGAGAAACCTTACAGATTCTGTTTTTCTAACTAAGTTCGGGGACTGAATCAATAAACTAACAAAAATATAACAGAACTAACTATAGCAACAACAACAAGAAGAAATACCAGGCCTTATCCCACTAGGTGAGATTAGCTGTGTGAATTGCATTATGCCATTGTGTTCTTCTTGGTCTTCCTCTACCTCTCTTCACAAGACTCAAGACCATATGTTCCTATCTTCACTAATGCCTCCATCGGCCTTCTTTGTCCATGTATGAACACCTTGAACGGTTTTCTACCATCTTTTCCTCCAGAGACACCAACCAAAAACTTTCTCATATGCGTTCTTGTAGAGAGGCGTCAAAATATTCTAGTATATTTCATTGATTCTGTGCAAGGGGATATATACAGCAGCAGCTAATTAACTCAATACTGCAAATGTGGGAATCACTACACCCTCCATAGATCTCATAAATCATGGTATCCAACCTTGTGAACTAAATTACGCCCCCCACAACACTTTTGACCTATCTCCTCTCCACATTTTAGTCATTTTGTTTGTTTTTATTTCTTCAATCTACTCCATTCTCATCCTTTCCAACAACCAAATGGCCCCTTAATGTTGTTCATCGAGCAAGAGATTGGAGAATTCTGTCTTCTTTCAATTTTTTTCCCCCTTTCTAAATGTTTTTATAATTAAATTAAATTATGTCTGACAGATTGAGTTCTAATTTAACAGGTTTCAGATATGGGTCCTCGTGCTCTTGCCGTCTCACTTCCTTTTGCCTGCACATTTGGCCTCATCGCATCTTTGCTTGCTTCAACCTTGGGTATGTCTGCTACCTTCTGTCTACCTAAGCTGTTAAGTAGTTTCATACGTACTTATTAAATAAACAAATTGTGAACAGTTCTCTATTTTCGCCCTTCTATTGGGCTAGTCAAAACTTTTAGCCACAAAGCATTGAAATGAATGTTCAGTCTCTAAATAAACAAAATTTCTAACCTTAAATAAATCTGAAGATTTAAAAAAAAAAAAAAAAAAAATCCCAAAGACATGGAGGATAAGATGTCATCTATCTAAATTTAAATCCAGGATATAATAACAAGACATTAAATAATATCCTTAAGGTTCCTATTTGGAAACTTGTATGTCTAAAATAGTAAATCCAATGGATTTTACAAGATAATGACATTTATTGGATAATCCAAAGGATTTATTTGAAAATCCCCCAATCCAGAAGATCTTAAATGAATAAGTAAAACAAAAAATAAGCTAATTAATCATAACATATAGCATTTAAGCATCTTAGGTCCCATTTGGTACAAAGCATTGAAAATGCAAAGTAGGGATTAGGATTAGGATTGAGAAAATCTATTAAGCATGAGAGATTGCTTGTTATATGTGATTAGACAAATTCATGTATGTGGGATTAGGAAATACCATAGGGTAAGTGGTATTTCCCAATCCCATCTCCATGGGTTTGCCTAATTCCATGCAACAAACAATTAATCATGCTAAATACTTTTTTAATGACTTTTCTTAATTACAATCCCAGTCCCTATTTCTAATTTTCAATGCTATGTACCAAACGGAACCTTAGTTCTTGGTGGGTCCTTTTTAGTCATCGGATCTCCTACTTGTTGGCCTCCATATGTGCCACTTGAACCTTGCATGTCACATATGTCACCCCTTTTGACATAAGCACCATGTGGGATAGGATCTTGACCTCCATCACTATCACTCTCCTACACCATTTCTTTTCTTATCCTCTCCCTTGCTCCCTCCCTCCCTCCCTCTCTTCACGCTCTTCCCTGCGTAACCGCAATCACAGGCTTTCTTCCTTCATGACATCTGTCCAAGTAGTTACAGTATATTCCTACCCCTAATCTGCTCTTGATGGGTCTGCTGCTTACTTGCCTTATTCTTCATCCTATAATAGACCTCAATGGGCTCATTCTCAACACCTCTACAGCTTCTTGGTGAAACTTTAAGCCTTTTCATGCATGGGATCCTAGTTTTTCTTGAGTGAACCTAGTACTTGGTTTTTAGGAGCATTAAAAACAAAAAAAAAATATCTTTGATAAATTAGATGCCCTTGTGATTTGAGATAGAAATTGTGACTTTGAAGTTTTCCATCTGCACTTTCTGTCTTTGAGATTGAAGGTAGTCACGTTGAGATTGGAGATTGATTAATGTGTATGAGCTTCATATACAAGAGCTGAAAATATGTTCGCATGCAAAATTTACAAGGAAAATGCAACTACAATATTAGGTTGAGTGATGTGGCTGAAATTGACATTAGAGGGCAACTTCTAAATATGAATGAAATGAGGAATCCCCCAGAGAAAGGAAATAGTTATAATTGGATAATAGAATCTACTTTGACGAGTAACTTCCTGGGTTCTTGTGGTGGAAGCATTTCACATTTTCATTAGTTTATCATGAAAATTTGCTTTCCCTGTTCGGGTTGTTGATAACTCACACTAAAAATCAACAAATTGGATTGGATGAATGTATTTTGCAAAAAGGATCAATCAGTAACACCAATTCTATTAACATTGTTCTGTTTATATTGACACATCCTTATCTGTTATTTTTATGATGGATACTATTGAAAGTTGCACCAATTTTGTGCTGCAAAAGATAACTTGATGCTGAGATAATAATGTCTCTCATTAATTTTAATATTTTTTAGCTAGTTATAGTTAACTCCTTCAGCAAATTTTAAAATCTCACTCTCTGTTTTATTGGCGTTAGTGAGCAGGGATTACATGTGGGCTTATGCTTGCTTCCAGTTTGCAATTGTCATCCTGCTGGCTCATGTATTTTACACTATAGTAAGATGGCCTATTTTCTTTCATGACAGTGTTGTGATCATTATGTCTGATCTTCCCATTTTATGATTAGGGCAAAAAAAAAAAAAAAAGAGTCCCACTCCGATGAAAATTGTATGAGATTGATCACTGTATACAATCTTATCGTGGGCCTTTTTGTGCATGTAGCGTAAATTAAATGGGATTCTCTCGGTTATGCTTTCTTCACTTGCTGGATTTGGGATTGCAATGGTTGTAAACTATCTGCTCAAGGAATTTTTAAATTGGAGATTTAGAAGGCAGATACAATCTATTAACCATACCCTAACGGAGCAGGAACAAGGACAGCATAATAGGCGGCAAAGACAGCAGCAAGAGCAACATCAATAATGGTACCTCCGGTAAATAGCTGAGGCAACTGGTACTAGCAGTCTTGCACAGTCTTCCACTATTGTGATGAATTTTGCTTCTTATCACTCAATCAGAGATGCTGTTTTTGTTTTGGCTACAATCTGATGTGCTGTTAACCCATGAATTTTTTATTTATTGTACCAGATGTTATCCGTGGGAGAGAGAATGGGGTGACTGATGTTGTCCATGGGAACCATCCATGTGGGTCCCACACTTTGTCTTCCTCTCCCTCTCACCCTCCCCCGTTAAGTTTTTGCTATTTCTGCATAAGTGTGTGTCAATATATTTTGGGATGTAGGCCTTTGCATGCGCAAGGATAATGTAAATAATTTGAGTCATTCCATCTATGTGCAGTTTAAGCTGTTGATGGGGAGTGTGTGATGTGTCCTGTTGATTTAGATGTACTTGCTTTTATGTATTTCGCTTTTTACATATGTATAATTTGGCTTTTTTATTTTTTTTAAAATCAATGCCCGCATTCACTGAAGTTGCGGAGCAGTGTTAGTCAACAAAGGTGGGGGGAAAAAAACAATAATCTTGACCCTGAAATGAATCATCAAAAGAATTTACAGATGACACTTTTCCAAATGGATTTCCCTACCATGAGTTTTTCACAGAAGGCTGCTGGGAGAGACGAGTTTTCCTCAGTTGAGAAATTAGACATGAGGCGTGTTGTGGCAGCAAGCAAAATCGAAAGCTTGATTACTTAACCAATACTTTTGATCTTTAATATAAAAACTAATATAAAAGCTGTATAATTAACTTAGGGAGATTAAAAAAATTAACTTAGTTATTTGTAACAAATATGTGTTGGTTTTTTTAAATTACCTTTGTTCAATCATCTATATAACAGCCCCTGTAATAAGTGGTACAATAGTTATTTAAAAGACTTTGTTAATCATTTGGAAAAGTCAACATGATAGGAAAGACAAAACTAATCAAATAGAAATCTATCCTAGTTATTAACAATTTATATCCATAACAAAACAATAGTTCCTATTTCAGAATGACAAAGATAATTAATGTAATAAGAAATAATTAACACTTGATTTTTTATGTATATATCAAATTCATAGCTAAAACCCTCCAATGGGCTGTGGGCCTTAAATATTATAAAAAAAAAACAGCAAAGACGTTTCATTAGTGGGGTCACATGAACCCCCCACTTTGAGATCTTTCCCTCCTTGTGCTTCGTCTTTGTGTTCCTCTGGTCCGTGTTTTTTCTGGCGAGAGTGAGTGTGAGAGGAAGAACAAGGGTTTGCTTTGAGACTCCTTTAAGATATTTTGATAAGTTATTTTCACCTTACATTTTCCTAGTTACCTTTTTCTTCTTATTTTTCAAGCTTTTGGCAGAAAAATAAAGTTTGTTAGGATTTAATAGATTTTTAATTTGAGACTTCTAACTTATTTTATGATATTAATGAAGCTTATGAGATTAAAATAAGAATCTTATAATCTAGATTTTTTTTTAAATTTAGATGGTTGATTTAAGGAAGTATAAGTTAGGGTTTAGTTGGAAAATTGTGATTTGTGATAATGGTGATATTAATTTCAAAATTGATCTCTTAGTTTAGTTCATTGAAAAATATATTGAAGATTTAACACTTGAGTTTTGAGGATTTTGTTGGGATATGAATGTTGATGATTATTGGAGGAACTTTAACTAATGAAAGTTAAGTGTTTTGAATAAATTAGAAAAAAAATTAATTCATAAGACTCTTATTCTGACCCATAAACTTCGTTAATATCATAAAAATAAGTTAAAAGTCTCAAAAATTAAAAATTTATTAAGCCCTGACAAATTTTATTTTGGTGCCAAAAACTTAAAAAATAAGAAGGTAAATAGGAAAAAATAGGACGAAAATAACTTACCAAACTATCTTAAATGAGTTCCAGAGCAAACTTTCTTTCTTCCTCTCATACTCACTCACTCACTCACTCACGCCGGAAAAAGCACGGACCAGGGGAACGCGCAGACGAAGGAGAAGGGGGGAAAGGTTTAGAAGTGGGGGTTCACTTCACGTGATCCCCACAAGCGAAATGCCTTTGATTTTCTTTTTTTAAATATTTAAGGGCCACGGCCCACCAGGGGGCTTTTACCCCCTCCCTCCAAACTTCACGGAAGTGGGTGTCATCGCCCCACTTGCCATTTTTTTTTTAAATTTTTATTTTTATTTTTATTTTATTTGTCTAATAATATTTTAAAAAAAACTATTATTATTTTTTTTTTAAATTTTTAATATATATTTTTTATGAAAAATTATGGTTTATAATTTAGACAATAAGATTAAATTTAAGTACCATTAGTTAATCTTTTTTTTAATAAAACTTAAATCCAAGAATAAATATTTTGGATGTTACAATCTACATTGAAAATACACTTAGATGGAAATACATTACAATCAATAAGGATTTTTTTGAGAACAAATTATAAATTTAAGAAACAAAAAGGATTGAAGTCTTATATTTAAGACCACCAATTAGTTCTTATATTCAAGACTGCAGGTACTATTACTTTTTTATTTTGTTACTTTTTTATTTCGCAAACATAGTAATACTATCTTTGATTCTTAATACAAGATTTAGTTAATTAATTTGGGAAGACTAAGAAAGTTACTAAATTACTTTAAAGTATTTATATTTATTGTTTTTCTTCAAACTAATTTACTGTAGTAATAAATTGATGTAGAATATAATGATATACATAAGTATTTTAGAGAGATTATGTAACATATACTATAATTAAATAATCTAGTAATTTTATTAATCTCTTCAAATTAATCAATTAGGTCTTATATTAAAGATATGAGGTAGTATTGCTTAACTAGTATTACATTGGTAAGTTATTCGAAAAATCATTCCTGTGATGCATCTTGTGTAGAGTGAAATTTTGATTTTTGTTAGGCTTTCAAACTATCCTACACGAGACTTGTCATGGACAAAATTGAAAGCTTTAAGTTTTTAACGTCCAAATAAATTAAAGTATGAATAATTACCAAAAGAGACGAGGAAAGCAGTGAATGAATCACATTCTAAAGCATATAAAGAGTTTTATAAGGAGTTAGGAACAAAAGTGGGGGAAAGAAATATTTACAAGGTTACGAAGCAAAAAGAAGGGGAAAAAAAAAGAGATTTAGACCGAGTAAAGTGTATAAAAGACGAAGAAAGTAAAGTTTTAGTTATTGATAAAGATATTAATGATAGATGGGAGGCTTACTTTTACAAGCTGTTCAATAAGGTAAACAAATATGCGACTCAGGACTTGGAGGACTTGCTAATTAGCAGAGATGATTAGAATTTGGCTTTTTACTATAGGATTTATTTCGAAGAGTTAAGGCAGCTCTTAAAAAAAGGACAATAACGGTATTCCTATTGGAGTTTGGAAATGCGTAGGTAGGGAGGGTGAATTATTGCTAACCAAGCATTTTAGTGAAATTTTACACTCCAAGACTATGTGGGGGAAAGAAATATTTACAAGGTTACGAAGCAAAAAGAGAAGGGAAAAAAAAAGAGATTTAGACCGAGTAAGGTGTATAAAAGACGAAGAAAGTAAAGTTTTAGTTATTGATAAAGATATTAATGATAGATGGGAGGCTTATTTTTACAAGCTGTTCAATAAGGTAAACAAATATGCGACTCAGGACTTGGAGGACTTGCTAATTAGCAGAGATGATTAGAATTTGGCTTTTTACTATAGGATTTATTTCAGAGAGTTAAGGCAGCTCTTAAAAAAAGGACAATAACGGTATTCCCATTGGAGTTTGGAAATGCGTAGGTAGGGAGGGTGAATTGTTGCTAACCAAGCATTTTAGTGAAATTTTACACTCCAAGACTATGTCGGATGAATGGGTGAAAAACACTTTAGTTCCTATTTAAAAAAATAAAAGAGATATTCGAAATTGTGCAAACGACAAAGGAATAAAACTTATGAGCCATATGATGAAGTTGTGGGAAAAAATGATCGAACATAGGTTGAGGTTAGATATTTCCATTTTTGAGGACTAATTTGGATTTATGATGGGAAGATCCACAACAGAAGTGATTTATTCACTAAAAAGGTTAATGGAAAGATATACGAGTAAAGGAAGATATTTACATATGGTTTTTATTAAGTTGGAAAAAGCTTATGATTGTGTGCGCAAAGAAATATTTTGGAAAGCTTTGGAAAAGAAAGGTACATGGGTTGTATATGTCAAATCCGTACAAGATATGAATGAGGGGGTAACTGTTAGTGTAAGATCATTTGGAGGTGAAATAAAGAATTTTTCTATTAAGATTGGCCTACACTAGGGATCATTTTTGAGCCCTTATTTATTTAATATTGTTCTAGGTATTCTAACTGAGCTTATTTAAGAAGAAATTCTTAAGTGTATGCTTTTCGGGATGACATAGTTCTCATGGTTGAATCAAGAGAAGAGATTAACTCTAGATTGGAGTTATGGAAAAAGACCTTGGAGTTGAAAAGTTTTCGTTTGAGTAGGAGCAAAACAGAATATGCATTGCAATTTTGGAGAGAGGCAAGTCAATAGTAACTTGAAGGTGAAGATGGAAGATCAAATCATTCATTAAGTGTCAAAGTTCAAATATCTAGGATCTATTATACATGAAGATGATAAAATTAGTGGAGATGTTTCTTATAGAATACAAGCTAGATAGTTAAAGTTGAGGAAGGTTATTAGAGTTATTTGCAATAAGAAAGTACCCGAAAAGCTCCAAGAAAAATTCTATTAGACTGCTATAAGACCAGTTGTATTGCATGGTAGTGAGTGTTGGGCTCTAAAGAAAAAACAAGAACTTAAAGTAGGGGTAGAAGAAATGAGGATGTTAAGAAGGATGTGTGGTCATACAAAAAAAAGTATGATTCGAAATGAAAATATCAGAGTAAGAGTAGGTGAAATGCCTATCGAAGAAAAAATAGTTGAACATTATTTGAGGTAGTTTGGAAATGTGCAGAGAAGGTTATTGAAGGTGCCAATAAGAAGAGTAGATTAGACAGTTTGAAGTCCTATAAAAAGAGACAGAGAAAAACCGAAAAGAATGCTCAATAAGATCATTAAACGAGACTTTTGGTCAATAATATATCTAAAGACTTGTTGTTGATAGAATATAATGACATTGTACGATCCATGTAGCCAACTTCATTTAATAAGATAAGGCTTCTTATTATTGTATTTGAATAATTACCTAACATGAAATTAATCAAAATTTAGTTACGTTTTAATTTATTGCTGTCCATAGCAATTATTCATGTAATTAACTTATTTTTGATTCATCAACATATTCGTGTATTTAACTTACCCTGTGCCCAAAGAGATTTTTATATAATGCGTTAACTAAACAAGTGTGAGCACATTTAAGCCAATGTGAGAAAGCCTAATTTGAATAGATACATAACAAAGTAGAATAAATTTATATTATGTTTTGTAAAGATAATATAATATTGTATTTATTATACCTAGTTAGTAGTTGGTTGTTGGCAGCTATTCTAAGCTTTATCTTTGTGTATATATGTAAAGCATGGCATCATTCATTTTGGGATATATGTAAACAAGTGTGAGTCTTAGCGTAACGTTTGGTAACTGCGTTCTCAATTGTAAGATTATTTTTATTGTCTTTGAGCTCTTGGTGTAGTTGTTGTCCTCTCTTCTCCCATCGGATATCTTTATCCTCTGGTTTGGCTCTTATATTATTATCGCGACAGGTAATAATGATAAATGGATCATGAATTCAGGAGCTACTAATCATATCATAGGTAACCATAATCTCTTCTTCACCTATAACTCTATGTCAACCCATCCAATATCACAATTGCTAATGGCTCCTACTTCCGTGTCCTTGGTTCTGGCACTTCTGAACCCATTGAGATTGATAGTCACTTGTTTGGGACAAGATCAAGGAAAACTTCATCAACAGAGGACATGAGATTTGGTGATTAGCTAGGTAATCTACTTACTAAAGCTTTGAATAGGACTCAGATTGACTATCTTTGTAATAAATTGCGCATGATTAATATATACTCTCCAACTTGAGCAGAATGTAAAGATAATATAAAATTGTACTTATTATACTTAGTTAATAATTGGTAGCTGGCTGGCATTGATTCTAAATTTACCTTACTTTTGTACATATATAAAGTATTTTATTATTCACTTTGGGATATACAAGAGACATTCATTCCATTTTCCTTTATTCTCAATATGTTTTAAATGAAATTGTTAAGCGTTGATCTCTTTCTTTTAATATTGATTAAAGCTGGACATGAAAGACTTTTTTCATGCGAAATAATATCAGCCACAATGGCCAAAGATTCCTCTTTTTTAATAATGATAATGCTAAGTAAATAAGAGAATACAATTTATGCGTTTCAATCACTAAAGAAAGAAACGAGAAATGTTCTAAAAGAATTAAATCAAGAAAAGAAGGAATGTAAGATCCAGAAATAGGTATGCTTTTATCCCTTTTCTCTTCAAACCAAACAGGACAAGACCTTGGCTTCTAGAGAGTTGATAAACTCCAAAGACCATCTTTCTCTTCAAATCTAAGAACTTGGAGGCTTGTACAACTTTTCCACCATCTTTCTGTATTCTGTAGAACACAACAGATTATAAATTTTAGGTTATTTTTCAGGAAATGAAAATTATTACCAGTTATATAGCATAAAGGAGAAAATAATCGGACTTTATTATTTACCTTCTTGATTGCTCCAAAGTTGTGCTGCTTGTGGATTTAGTGGTGAACTGTTGTTTGGCTCTGAATTTCGCAAAATTAAACAAATAAATATGAGCAAAAATACGATATGGAAATTCAGTGCCATTTTGTTCAAAATCCATTTGGGTTATATTACCTCCAAGCAGACTTTGGATTGATAGAAGAACAGTTCTCACATCATAAGCAGATGACCATTTATCCTATAATCAAAGATGACCAGAAAAAAGAAAAAGGTCATTGTTATGTAATGGGGAAAATAATCGCTTGAAAGTGTCATGGTAGCAATTGGATCATTACCTGAAGAATGTCCAAGCATATATTGCCATGTAGATCAACATTTGGATGGAAGCAGGTTGTCTCAAACTTGACTTTAGGAGGTTTAAATGGGTAGTCATTTGGGAAGGAAAGTGACAGCTTGTACTCTGTTCCTTCGAACACAGTATCTTTGCTTCCTGTTATGGTTCCTTTCCAGAAGAATATGTTGTCCTCCTCAGGGAAAGCAGAGATACCACTTTCTCCATTCATCTGTAATTCCAGTCACACAACAAGAATTATTAGGGTAATTTCCAAATCATAAACAAAATTTTCTATTTCCCTCTTAATTGGGCTTTAATCCCAATTCCCACATGTTATGTATCCTCACTGAAAAGTAATAAATTTGCTTGCACAGCCCTCCATGTATCCAGCAGGTTTGCTATTTATAAGACCTAACTTGTCAATCTCTGACATCTAAAGCTAAATACACTGAAGAGTCTATGGAGTAAATTAACAGTTAACAAACTTCACGAATAAAGAGACCTTAGAGAGAAATCTTACCATCAAAGCCATCAATTCAGACTGCAACCTGTTTGATATAACCAATAACCACAAACAGAAAGGCATGATCAGAAACAAAAACGAAGTCGAACATAAACTGCTCCAAAATCCTCTAACAGAATTATATGCGTGTGTAAAGTATAATCAAGCAAAATTCCGAGAATACTCAAGCTTAAAAAAAGTGAAGAAAAGAGCGAATGAAAAAGAAACCTTCTGAGAACAGACTGAGAATCAACGCTCTTTGCTGCATGAAGAGGCTGCTTAGAAGGTGTGATGTTGCCTGGAGCAGTTTCAGTTTGACCGTTAACAGTAGCCATAATAATGACAATTACGATCCTCAGTTGCAACCCAAATTCGATAGAATCGAAGAACAAAGAGCAGATCACAGAGAATACAGATAGAGCTTATGACGCAGGAGGAAGAGATAGAGAACCAGAAAGAGAGAGAATGCGTATGTGTTTCTCTATCTTCGTCCTTCGCGAAAGCAACTGAGAGCGAAAGCGAAAATCAGAACTGAAAGGGATCGCATGGTGGTGGAAGAAAGGTAGATTTAAAACGTTGTGCCTCCCCTGAAAACGACGTCGTTGGGAGGTTGACGTTTGTTTCCTTTTTAGGGCATGGAGCACTTGAGCGAGGGGTGAATTTCGAGATTCAAATAATTTGAACGTTGAGTTCTCCTCTTTTTTCTTTTTGGAACGTTGAGAGGCGCAAGAGATTCTTATTCTTGTGGCCCACCTGCAACGGCTAGTAGGAACGGCGACTGTAAACGCTCCTTTTCTTCGTTTTTGTTCCCCCCCCCCCCCAAATTTTTTTAATCCATAAAATGGTCCTTTTAGTTTTTTTTAGTTAGTTTCTTTTTTCTTTTCTTTTTCTAAATATTTTATAACAAATTTAAATGTTTGTGCCCACCAAATTTCAATTTTAATTGATGATTATTAAGTATTAAGTCAACTAAGAATATAATCTAAAATTCGAAATCGAATTATGTCTCATAAGATATGGTTCTGTAGAAATTCTTTGGTAGGATAAAAAAATGAATAGAGTTAATAAAAGGGAGAAAATTGTGATTTTAGCATTGTTTTAGGAGAAATCCGTGCAACGTCGTATTGGATTGAATAAAATTAATAAAACTGACAAAATTACAAATTAGAAGTCCATAGCTACCTTCACAAAAGTATAAATTTGGTCCTTTTTTTTGACCAGATAAAAGGTACTTCATTAAAGAACACAAAGATAAATACAAAGCCCAACAAGTACAACTGCACTAAAGACAAGCCCAAACACAAAGGGAAACCAAACAAGCTCTAGACAAAACCTAACCCTTACAAAGAAGAGAGGGCAGCCGCCACCGTTACCAAGAACTTCAGTCACCATCGACCATTCACTAGAAGCAGTAGGGAAAGAAGTGCCATTACCAACACCAACACCAAAGCCATTATAAGGGGTGGGGGTTCGAAGAACCATCCCAAAGGACCCATCCCCTCTTCTTGGCAAACCAACCCAACTGGTTGAACAACCTCCATGAGAAAACATCATAGGAGTAAAAGCACCCACAGCCACCAAAAAAATAGACGAAGGATGAGAAGGTGTTCTCGCCGACAGTTGCTGAGCGAACAAAATTGACGGAACAAAGACGTGCCCTTCGAATTCGCATCCACGAACAAACCACAATGATTCTCTGAAAGATGAAGCCATCAATGTGTAGGACCGTAGTCATCAAATCCCAGCCCCAAAAATACAAAACGAAGTCGCCATGAGAGGTCTGCCGTCAATGAAGCCCTCAGATCTTAAAATAGCCGCTAAAACCAGACACACCACCGATAAAAGCCTAAAAAGACATACAAAGAAACTAAGGATAACACAGAAAACGGTCATCTCCTCCCCCAATCGGAGCCGGGGGAGGAGATACCGTGAAAGAAAGCTCCTCCGCTTGACGAGGGAAGAAAACTCTCACCACCCTTGCAATTTCGAGAGAGGGAGAGAGAAAGTGGGCTTTGTATAAATTTGGTCCTTAACTTTATTAAATCTTAATATTATTGATAAGTAATGGTTTTAAAAAATGATGCTATTTATTTTTATAGATTTCTTTGAAACACACTCGATTAGTTGAAAATAGAGTTAAAATCATATATATATATATATATATATATACGGGTGTGTGTCTCTTTTTTTTTTTTTAAACAAAATGTCAATTTTATTCAAACGCGAATAAAAAGTTACCTAAAAAAGCCACTCAGATTAATCTGAGGAAGGCCTAAATGAATTAAAAAAAAAAAGAGTGACCGAACGAAACAGAAATAAAAAAGTAGAACGTACCAACGGCAAACATTGCATTGGTGATGACTAGAAAGTAGCAAGAAGCTAATACTATCTCCAGTTCTAATTATAAGATCCTATTTGTACACTATAAATGAGGTCTTATAATTATGACCGGAGGTAGTATAAACTTGTATAAAATTCATAACAAAATATAAAAGTAAACAAGAAAAAAATTAAGAGAGAATTACCATGAGATCTCAAAAAGAAAAATAATTATAAAATAAATTCCAAAGATTATCGTTTTCTACTATAAAACTTGTTATTACATACTATTTAGATTATTATTGAAATTTTTTAGTAATTATTTTTCTTTCTAATTCTCCCAAAAATCAAAGCCCTATTGGTGATGATTAGGACAAAAATGACGTGGGCCATGATCTTGCATATGAGTCTAATGCTGATTGTACGTTAATGATGACATGGCAGTTAATGTGAGTGGCGATGGGGTCACTGACTCGAGATCATGATGACATGGCGCCATGATGTGTTAGCTGAGTAGGCATTTATTTCAGAGTAACAGGTATTTATTAAATGTGTTCCTTATACTACATCAACAAAATTTACTATATCCTCTAGTTCATAATATAAAATATTGGTTAGGAGAAAATCATAGTCCAAAATATAAGATGTTGTTAGGATAATTAATGTGATTTTCTAACTTTTGGTCCTATTAAATATAAAAGAGAGAGGAAAGAGATGAGAGATAATAAAGTGTAACATCAAAGGCATTTTTATCTTTTTTTTAGGGGTTAAACAGAAAAACTATCATTTTAGGACAAATTTAATAAATAAATTTTTATTTTTTAATATGTGAGAAAATTAACTAACTACTTATATTATGAACCGGAGGAAGTAGTTGTACTACTCAGAGTTACAGCCAATGTGGGCATGCGGCTTCCAACTTCAAGCACTAAGCAACACCGTAAACCCAAAGTCTGGTTCATAACGGTTAATTGTTGATCTTGTTCCCCGTTCAGTACTCAAATAGCCGCAATATTCGTACTAAAATAAATAATACTACCTTCGGTCCTAATTATAAGAGCCAGTTGACTAATTTGAGGAGATTAAAGAAGTAAGTTGAATTAGTTATTTGTCCTAAATAGATATTGTTTTTCCTAAAATATCTTTATTAATCAAGTGTATTGACTAGAACTATTATTGTTAGAAGGGCTACTTTGAAAAAAAAAAGTATAAATATAAGAGATAAAATGGATTGTGATCTTATATTTAGAACCAAAATAAAAATTAAATAAGATATTATATTAAGGATCAGAAATAGTAACAAGGAAAGTCGTTTTCGTGGTACAATCAGTAACCTCACCTACAAAGTACCGGACGTATTAGTTATAACTTGTATACAAAGTGACTTCATACTTTTCACCCAAAAAAAAAAAAAAGTGACTTCATACTTTTTTTTTCCTTTTTTATATTGATAGCTAGTTAGTATCAACAAACCTGCAAGGCAATCATTATGATATATAAAATTAAAATCAATTATCTTTATTTAGTTCCTATTTAAAAAATCATTTCGATACTACTATGGATGCACACGAGAAACATTTCTACTTTTTATTTCCTGTTTACCCCATGTAACATAACACCCAGACAAATCTTTCCCACCTCCTTTTGTAGGTAAAGTATTTTTTCTGAAAGAAAAAAAAATTCAAACTTGCATATTACATTATTAGATAAAAATAAAAATCTAAAAGTTGATACATTCATGGTCTTGCTAGACATACTCCTCATTAGGTCCTACTAGGTCATACTTATCGCAATCCTCATATCACAATATGTCCTCTCAAACATGAGATTAAAAAGATTTGTAGTCTTTTCTGCCAGACAGATTTTGTAATGTACGAACAAAACTAAAGATGTGAATTAAAACACGGTTATGATTACTAATATCTGAAGGAGAAATGTACAGGCAAAACTAAAGATGTGAATTAAAACACGGTTATGATTATTAATATCTGAAGGAGAAATGTAAAGGCAAAACTAAAGATGTGAACTAAAACACGGTTATGATTATTATTAATATCTGAAGGAGAAATGTACAGGCAAAACTAAAGATGTGAACTAAAACACGGTTATGATTATTATTAATATCTGAAGGAGAAATGTACAGGCAAAACTAAAGATGTGAACTAAAACACGGTTATGATTATTAATATCTAAAGGAGATTTCACGATTAAAAGTTGAGAAACTTCTTCTCTTTCAAGCTTTCCACTATCTCTCTAAGAGATATGTCTAATGGAATAAACTCAATTCCCAAGGTTTTAGTCTTTTCTTGAGAAACTTGATACTTGGGCATCAATGGCTCATCCATGACAAACCTACAAGTTCATTGAGCAGCAAAGAAAATAAATTAGCAAAAATCAGGAAAAAACCTTGAATCAAAATATATAATTTGGGTATAAAGAAGTGCATGTAGAAGCCATTTTGGTTTCATAAAAAATGACTGAATGATTAAAATCACAAGCCAATCTCATCAATCCTGAGGAACAGATGTCCATTATCAGCAAATTTAAATATATTGTCTCTCATTCATCCTCTAATGCCAACCCCACCTAGGAGATAAGGCTGTTGCTTCTACTGCTGCTACTCTGTGTGCGCGCGCGCGTGTGTGTGTTTTTTTTTTTGAAATAATTTTTGTCAAAATGTGTCTATGTGCATGCGCGCGGGTGGGTGGGGAGTAAAACTTGCAGATTCTCCTCTAGTCCAAGGAGAAGGGCATGGTCAGCACACGAGATGCAGTACATATCTGTGAAGCAAAAACTAGATTTTACAATATCAAGTTTTTCAGGTCCCTCCTCATCAACGGAAGAAGGAAAAAATGGAAGCTGACACAAAACCATTTTTTGATCCAAGTCACCACTTACTGTCAATTGTGTTCAGAAGCCTTTCATCTGTATTCTTGCCGATCCTACTCAGATGTCTTCCAGAACTTGGCAGGAGAATTTTTATCTTTGCTACATGGTATTGTCATTATCATCTCTTCTTAGGCTCTTTTGCAAATCTATTTGTACTTTATCTTACTGTAATTTGTAAAACTTTCGTTTTCTTAATATCATTTTGTCTTACCCCCCAAAAAAAGAAAGCTAAAGGAAAGAAATCAACAAAGTACTAATTGAAGGCAATGAGTACAAGTATTAACACCAGTGTTGTGACTTGGTGGATATTCTATCACATGCTAAATGCATAATGAT